TAGTGGTCACAAGTTACCTTGAATCAGGGGGGAGATGTAGCTTTGTGCTTTTCTTTCGGTGCTCTTAGATTAGATTGGGAACTTAAAGTGACCCTGCCCTTTATCCTTTTGTCCTACACAGCCAAGAAGAGAAAATCAGACAAGGTGAGAGCCGGGGCAAGCATGAGGGAAATTTGGGCGAAGGACAGTTACCCTCCCCTTTGGGCAGGGAGTCCTCGAGTATCTTGACTCAAGTCTGAGGTCACTGGGTGCCTCTGGGTTCTGGGATGAGGGTGTCTGGTGGGCAGGAGGGCAGCCGAGGCCTTGGGGGATGGGGGGGGTGGGTATGGGTAAAAAGAGGAGGAATTTGAGGATGTTTCTTTGTCAAATCTTTTTTCCTTCCCTGGGTTCTCGGCTCCCCCTTATCGTTACCCTTTCCCCAAAGCTATGGTATCTCCCATTCCAGAACCCCAATTCCCCTCGAAGATCCAAGTCTTTAAAACACAAAAATGGTAAGTGGGGCCAGAATAACATTAGTGATTCTAGCTGTGTTTTCTGGGGCTCATTGCTGGAGGGTGGAGGTGGGAGGCTTGGGGGACAAGGGTATCGAGGGAGGGCCTGTGATCCTTCTGTCACCCCCACTTCCTCTCTGGTTATTTTCAGGGTTCTCTGTCTGTACCTCTGCATCAAACACCCTTCCCCTTCTTTTTTCTTCTTCAGGGGAACTTAGCAATTCGGATCCTTTTAAGGTGAGTGAGTAGGAGCTGCCCCTCTTGGGTTCTGCCTCATTTTCCTTGTTGTGGGTTGGGTGGGATTCAGGCAAGTGGGGATCACAATGCTGACGGCCAGAAATACCTGATAGGGTATTTAGGTCTTGCATATTGGAAAACCGCTGGGAAGTCGTCGTCGTCCTTTTTTTTTTTTTTTTTTTTTTAAGGTTTTATTTATTTATTTTTAGAGAGAAGGGAAGGGAGGGAGAAAGAGAGGGAGAGAAAACATCAATGTGCGAGAGAAACATCAATCAGTTGCCTCTTGCATACCCCAAACTGGGACCTGGCCCACAACCCAGGCATGTGCCCTGACTGGGAATCGAACCAGCCGCTGGTTCACAGGCTGGTGCTCAATCCACTGAGCTGCACCTGCCAGGGTCTGCTGGGAAGTCTTAAGGCGTCTTCACTTAGAATGGGTTGAGAGGGACTGGTTCTCCACCCTATCCCTGTCCTCCTTTCTTTGGCTGCTGTTTCTCTAAGCTGTACTTCTGGTTCTTCCTCAGTATAACAACTCAACTGGGATCAGCTATGAGACCCTGGGACCTGAGGAGCTTCGTAGCCTGCTCACCACGGTGAGGGACCAGGGAAGGGGAGGCCTTTGGGAATAGTGGGGTGGAGCCACCGGCAGTGGTCAAGGCTCTGAAGGAGACCGGTGACATAGCAGTCAGGGCCTTATAGTTCTCTCTCTGGCCAATGGTGGTCTGGGACTTTCTGCTCTGGACACATTGGGGCCCTTTCTGCTTGTGCAATCTTGAATTTTACAGAAGAAAACATCTAGTGTCTAGAGTAGGTTCCCCTCCATCCCTCCTTTCAGCTTATATTCCTCTTCCAGCAATGTGGGGTGATTTCTGAACACACCAAGAAGATGTGCACAAGGTGAGCGCAGAATCTAGAGAGGGGGCCAGGGGGCCCTCCTGTACACTCACCCTGGGTGTGGGTCGGGAGCACCCCGGACTTGAGCAATGGGACTCTCCTTTGGCCAGGCCTTAGGCCACACTCTGGGGGCCTCTCCGTCGATCCCTGCCCTATTGTCCATCCCTCAGCCTCTGCTGAGGGGAGGGGCTTCACTTGAGTTCCTCAGACCCTTCCCGCCTTGTCAGAGTCTGATCATTCTCTCCCTACCAGGTCCCTGCGCTGCCCCCAGCACACAGATGAGCAGCGGCGAGCCGTGCGGATTTACTTCCTTGGACCCTCAGCGTAAGTGACCTGCAAGAAGGGTGGCGGGTCGCGAAGGGTGAGGATGATGATTGGTATCTGTAAAGCCCTTCTCTGGCCCACCCCTTTTCTAGCGTCCTTCCAGAGGTCGAGAGTTCCCTGGACAATGACAGCTTTGACATGACTGACAGCCAGGCCCTGATCAGCCGGCTGCAGTGGGACGGCTCCTCTGATCTCTCACCCTCTGATTCAGGCTCCTCCAAGACGAGTGAGAATCAGGGATGGGGTCTAGGTAGGTGTCCCAGCTGGGCCCGAAGCAAAGGAGTGGGGGCGCCTTGTGTCCTCCTGCCACAACCCGGCCCTCCTCCCTTTTGCATCTTTCTGTTCAGGTACCAACAGCTCCGAGTCACGGAAAACGAAGAAAAAGAAATCCCATCTGAGCCTGGTAGGGACTGCCTCCGGCCTGGGCTCCAACAAGAAGAAAAAGCCAAAGCCACCGGCACCCCCGACGCCCAGCATCTACGATGACATCAACTGACTTGGGTGCAAGGGATAGCCTTTGGCTAAGCAGAGCCCTCTCTCCCAACCCCCACCCAGGTGGCATAACCTGGCAAATGGACGGCTGCTGGGGGTCTGGGCTTGAGAAGCTTGGTGGGCCAGGCAGGCAGAGGATCCGATTATGCGCCCCTGGGGGGTGTCAGGGTCCTCTGCGATGGAGTACGACCCCTCGGCATGCAGGACTCAGACCTGGACATATTATGCCTTGGACATAAGTTTGGTGGGGAGGCGGTTTTCATATTTATTCTGAGTTACTGGATGTCCAGCTAGGCCAGGGGCCTGATCTGGACACTCTGCCAGGGCACTGCCTGCCCCCCACCCCAGGAACTGGACTAAGCCCTGCCGAGGAGCATTGTGGCTGCCCGGGAGGCTGTGGGTTAGAAGCTGAGCCTGGAGGGGCCTCCCCCAGCCGCCCTCAGCAATGTGAATGGTCCGGTGCTTGGAGCTGAGGGGCAGTGCTGGGCGTGTCCTGTCTGTGTGCAGAATCCTATCGAATGCCCCAAATCCCAGGGGTAGGCAGGCACAGCAAGCTGTCTGCTGAGGTAGGCATCCAGAACTGCCGCCGCCTTCCCTGCCCCTCACAGGGGCAGCCCTTTCCCCTCAGTCCCCATGGGCCTCATTGGCAGCAGGAGCTGTCCTTTTGTTGGGTGCCAGGAAAGGGCCTCCAGCCTCTACAGCTTCAAAGAACGGGTTAGGGGAGGGTAGGAAGAGGGAGCTGTGTATCAAAATGACTCCCCCTACCTTTTCTCCCTGACCCCAGGGCTGGTGAGGAGTGGGGCCCCAAGGTGAGAGGGAACGGTGCTGCTTTATTTGAAATGTTTTCTTACCTCATTCCCTGCCCCAGGAAGGGGCTCAGCCTCACCCTCCTGGGGTGGCCCCATGTTCCTCCTGCCTACCCTGCCCCACTGCCCTTCCAGGGCAGCCCATGTTCCCAACTGCTGCTTGCCACCCCCCTCTTTCACCTTGACCAGCTTCAGTTCCTCTCTCGATGCTCCTGCCTCTGAAGCCTGCCCTGTTTCCCCTTCCTTAGCCGCTTTTAAGTTATTTATTCTGTACTTGTGGTTTGGGGCTCTGAGGAAAATCCTGATCTTTTACCTCTTCCCCTTTGCTAGGAGTAGGGTGGGAAGAGAGGGTAGTGTCTGTGCTCTGGGTTACCAGTGGAGGGGAAGGGGTGTCATGTCTAGGCATTGCCCCTCTGTGGACTGTCATGCCAGTGTGCCCACCTGCCTGGTCTACATCCTGAAGAGATGTACCGTCCCACCTCCACGTGGGCACCATCACTCCCAGGAGCCGAGCTGGAGGAATGCAGTCTGGGCTGGGAGCAGAGCTGACTGACATGGGTGGAGCTGACCCTAAGCCAAGTTCTCTGGCATTTGCTGGATGTGTCCCCTGCCCTCCTCTCAGGAGGAGTTACCCCGCATTGGGTAGCTAGTACCCAGGACTGGTTGGACTGATTGGGGTTAGGGATCCTAGAGGGTTAAGGGAACAATGGAGATGGGGTTGTAGTGCCCCGTCTGGAACCCCAACCTCCCCCTGGGGTGGTTCTGCTTGTGGCTGAAGTTACAAATTGGTTTTTAACCCAAGAATTGTGATTATTTTTTAAAAAGCCAAACGGATTTTGGCAGGAGTTAGAATAAATCCTGGGGCCTGGGCTCCTCTGTTCTTGAACCTCCATAGTCTTCTCCCTCTGAGGGGAAGCCAGAGGGAGAGGAGGATCTCAGCCAGTCTCCATTCTGCTTCCAAGTGACCTCTTGGAAGTAGGTTGAAGGTGAAGGGAGGAAGGCCAGGGGCCATTCTTCCTTCTGAGAGGCAGCTGCAGTTCAGGCCCTAATATACCCTTTCCCTTCTGGCCTCTCCCTTTCCCCCTTCTGGTTGGAGGAGGGAGAAGTGGGAAGTAGTTTGGGAACTGGTTTGTCCACATCCACTTCCCCATTGTTCCTTGGCCCGCCCTCAGGGCAGAGCCCCCTGCCCAGGCTGGGTAAGAGATGGGCTTGGTCCAGCAGGGACCCTGAGGGAACAAGTCCCTTTCCTTCCTGGGAGAGTATGCCCCCCTACCATGTAGTTTAACAGGGGCTAGGAGCTCCCCCACTCCCCTCCCTCTAACAGCAGGCTGTGTGGGTTTCAATTCCCATCCTTCCCAACCTGGCTAGGTGTCGTCCACCCTGTATCCTATCATGTGTCTGAGTGTGTGTGGGGGGTTCTGTACTAATTTCCATGGCCGGTGGCTTTTCCTTCCATGCATCACTCCCCCCCGCATGCCCAGGGGCCACCCGCCTGGCATTACCGCATGCTGGGGTCATTGGGGGAGGGGGGGTGGGGCTCACGCTGTCCTGTGGTCTTGAGATTTTTATTTTTGCATATGTAATCCATCTTGTACAGGTAGCTAACTTTGTAAACGCTGTGTATTTCCCCTGCCCCCATGGCTGCTGGTGTAAATAAACTGCATCTCCCATTGGTAGCGGGGCCTACCCACCCTCATTACCATGTTGCTGGGGGCAAAGCCATTCTCTTAATATCACAGGAGGCTCCACAGCCACAAAATGGAACTTTATTCAGTCACAGACACTGATCCCACCCCTCCATCCAAGACCCCCAGAGGCAAGGGTCGGGGGCACAGTGCTCCATACTCCGCGCTCCTTGGAGCTGGGCAGGGTAGGTCACTGGCTGAAGGCCAGAGCCATTTCTTGCTTACAGCCTTAGGCCTAGGGGAGCAGCAGCTGTGGCCTGGCCTCTCCCAATGCTGGGGGCCTGGCTTTGTGCCCCAATCCCCTTCCTGACAAGCTCTCTAAAGGACTATTAAGAGGAAAACAAAACAAAAAACCCCAAAGTGCTTTGAAAAAAGGGAGAACACTGGGAACTGTCCAGAACGTGGAGGACACCCTATTTCTGCTACGGGGGGAGGGGGAGAGGCAGCGAGGTGCCTGTAGGGCAAGCTGACAGTCGTCACTGCTGCCTGTGTGATTTGTCTCAAAAGATGGATATTCCACTGAGGAATTAAAAAGATACTCCAGGCTCCCTGCAAAAGTACACGGGGGCCAAACTGAGCTGTCCTAGCAGGTGGCCCTGGGTGCTGAGGAATGAACATGCAGGACAATGGGAAGAGCTAGGGTCACAGCTAGGAGGGAATCCTCAGAGCCCAGGCTCCCCACCCCACTGAGCTTGGCCACCAGCATGGCTCTAAACTTCAGACCCTAAGAGTGAAGATGACATCCTCGTTTCTACCTGAGTTGTGCTTGCGCAGAGAGGATGTCTGTACCTTGTGGCCGTGATGGGGCTGAGGAGGACCCACCATATCCTTTCCACCCCTCCCTCCCAGGCCCTTGGGCCCAGGTCTGGCTAGGAAACAGGGGAGGCCATAAAGGAGGAAGACCATGCCTTTCATTTTCTCCCTATGTCCTTATCGTCCATACATCCCAAATACTAGGAAGCTGAAGAAGACAGTGACCCCCACCAGGGAGACTGTGGCAGGTGCTGTGAAGAACTGGCGGTAATTGATACGGAAGTACCAGACCACACCCAGCAGCACCACAAACACAGGCACCATGAGGCTGCCCACACTGACACCAAGGCTGGGGGACTCAGTGGCTGAGGAGGGGGCCAGAGAGGCTGAGGGGCCTGGAACAGCTGACCCTGCGGGTGAGCGGTGGCAGTGAATCACACAGTTGTTGGTAATGTTCAGGGAGCGCAGTGTCCGGGCTGGGTCCTGCAGCAGGCGGCCCTGGTAGATCAGTTTCATCTGGGTCTCTTGTCCAGGGAAGTATTTACTGTAAGGATGGAAGAGAAGGAAAGACAAGAGGGCGAGGAATGAGAAGACAAACAGGCCTGAACCAACACACAGGGTGAGGAGGGGAAAATAACTGAGTGGATTTCAAAGAAATCTCACCCATTCCTAATAGGGAAGGGGCCTGACACTTCCCTGCTGCCCCCATGTCTCTACCGGCCTCCTCTGAGGCCACCAAGGGCTGGGGACGTGGGGTGTGAACAGCCTCCCACTTTCTAGCTTGCTCACCTCTTCAGGGTACCCACAGTATCTTCTGGCCTGGCCACAGCCAGCTCCTCGGTGTCATTGAGGAATTTGAGCCGAACGTTGATGAAGCCGGGGCTGGGAGGCAGGGTGGTGCCATCCTCAGATCTCAGCGGAGCTTGTGGACTGCTGCTCTCTGAGCCTGCCTGTCTTTTGGGCAGGCCTTGGATGTCAAGCAGATGCTCCAGGCTGGGCTCAATACCACCCCCAGCTCCGGGCTCCCCTGCGGAGTCTCCACCTTCTCCAGCCTCTTCAGCTTTCTCATCGTTAACTTCTGATGGATGCGGGAGTTCAGCTGGCTCTGGGGTACCTTGGCCCGCCACCAGATGGTCCACGTGCCCCAGGTGGAGAACGGATGTGTCGCCAGCTGACACAATAGTGCCCAGGAGCTGGTTGCTACTGCTGTCTGCTACATAAGTAGAGAGCCAAGCTAAAACCAAGGCTAGAATCAGCACCGCCACACCTGCCACCACAGTCACTTCATCACCCACACCCTCAATAAGGGTGACATCGGAGAGTTCCATGGCCTGGCTGTTGACCGGGTCCACACTGCAGGAACAAAGGGGTATAACATCAGCAGGGCCTCCGGGGCTGCAAGCAGATTTCAGGTTTGTTTAGGTTCTAACTGACCCAGTCCTGAAGAAAGCGGAGTTCACTGTCCTGCAGAAGGGGAAACAAACCTTTCTAACTCGGAGCCCCCAACCTAAAGCTAACGACTTACCCTTTACACCCAAGGTGAAACTCTTCCAGGTTCTACACCGTCCCTCTCTCACATCCAACCCCCTTACAGCTCTGTTGCTGTTGCAACTGTTTGGTTGCTTTTTTGGTAGGAGGGGAAAAACATTTGCTTCTTTGGGCCCTGAGTTTCGCTTGGACTTCTATCACTTGGCAAAGCAGCTATTCCCCTTTGAGGAGACTTCAAGGTGGCCTCAGAGAGATCAAAAAGCTTGTAATATTTTATTTGGGGGCCCTTTTGGAGGTATAGTGCAACCACTCTTGCCAGACTGTCTCATTTAAAACCCTATTTCACTCATGGTCACATATCTATATCCAGATGTCAAGAGCCAAAGAAAATTAATTTATCATCAAAAGCAGAGTCAGAAGACCCCAAAGGCCCGGTAGAGGTCATCAGCAGACACGATGCAGCAGACAGTGTGTCTGCCTCCCCTGGAAGTCTTCCCGTAAGCTCTGGGGAGCAAAGTAGGACAGGCACCAGGCACGCCGCCCTCCTGGGTCACTCTGGGCTCCCAACTAAAAAACCACTACCTGAGTGGAACAGATTTGGAAGGCTCCCAAAACAGCTGTCACAACCCATATCTCAGTACCTCTTTTTGCACTGTGCAGGTTCTCCCTCAGCGGTTTCTTAGAAAGGCACGGACCTCGGCTCGCTCCTGGGAGTACCTACGCTTCCCCCTGGAGATTTTGCTTTCACAGCTGTCCCTGGGCAAATCCGGGCTAACGATTGGCATTACCAGACTATTCTCACAGCCACTATAAAACTTTATTAGATTCATCTACTTGTCCATCTCTCTCTACTAGACTCCTGCAAGACAAGGATCACATGTCTTTCTCTGGGTTCTGCAGTGCCCAGCATGATGCCATAGTAGTTGTTCAAAGAATATTTGTGGAACATATCAACATCTGACTACTTTCCGCATCCTTCTTTAGTACATGGGTCCTGGAGTCAGGAAAAAAAATATAATCCTGGTCTTGCCTCTTTCCAGCTCTGTAACCTCAAACAACGTTGTCTCAGGGCCTCAGCTTTCTCATCAGTAAAATGGGGTGAAAAATAGTACCTACCTCATAAGGTTGTTTTGAAGATGCCGGGAAATCATCGAAGCAAATTACTTAGCAGAGTGCCTGGCACATTGCAATTGTTCAATAAAAAAATGGGAGCAATTATTTATCACTCCCACAACTAACCCCTGATAGTAAGAAGGTTAATGTCATTAATCCCGATTTACAGAAATGGTAACTGCGGCGAACAGAGGAGAAAAGCATAAGCATAGACACAGGGAATTTTCGTGGGCAGTGGACCGGGCAGGACCCCAGGTCTCCCGCCTCAGAGGCCTTCGCTCTCTCCTCAGCCTGTGAGCGACCCAGACCGCGCGGTGAGGGGGTGTTCCCTGCTTTTTCTGAGGCGAAGGCTCCGCTTTTGGGCGGTCCTATTCTCGCGGCACCCGAGAAGGGGTCCGTGGGCCCACCCGAGCCGAAAGGTTGCTTGGTTCCAGCCGCCGTGCACAAGCCCACTTCTCCCAGCCGGTGAGAGGCAGAATCGAGTGAGGGGGTCACAAACCATCCACACCCCTCAAACTTCGGGGCGGGGCTAGGGGCCTGTGGGCGGGGCTTGAGTACGCGGGGAGTCATGGGAAATTAAGAGAGGATTGACCGGTACTATGCCTGGAGAGGAAAAGAGGTCCTCACCTGAAACGGCCAGACTAAGTGTTTTGACTTCGCCAGGACGGCCCACGGACTCACCTTTCCGTAGGGGCAAGAGAAGGGGCTGGTTACCCCTGATTCTGCCCAGGGTCCAGTCTCTTCCGGCTTCTCCAGGAAGCTGTTAGAGCCAGAGACAGGAAGTCCCGCCTCCGCGCCTTGCACTGATGATGCAAAAGCTACGTAAGGCGGGCTGACGTAAACGTATTCTTTAAAAGGGACAGGTTTGTCCCCGGAAGGAGGGGTGGAGTCGTTGTTGGCGGGATCCTCGCTCTCCCAAGCAGAGCCACGCCCAGTGGGCGGAGTCCGAGGGGCTCTGGGTTGAGGGGCAGGGCCAGGAGGGAGTTGGGAGAAGAGCTTGAAAGGGGGCGTGGTATCGACTCTCGAAGATTGAGCGGGCTGGCACGGCTGGCCAGAGCCCCAGCAGTACTTCCATGTTTCCAGCCTTGTTCTTCCGGCTTCGCTCCCAGCCTCCCGGTCCCATAGGATTTATTACTGCTCCAGGTTAGTGGGGTCAGTAAGGTCTAGTCTCTCTGACTTCCAAAAATTCTGGGATAGTCGGGAGACAAACAGGGAGACAATTTAATCACTATGCGGTGCTACGACAGTGCGGCCCCAGGTAGTGTGGGACTTGGGTAAATTATGCACGATAACTTTTCAAAGAAGGTACATATGCAGGGCAGGTTTAGAGCACAAGAAAAGCAGGAGCCCCCAGAAGGTTCAGCTTCCAAGAACGTATCCAGAATTTTGCAATTAATTTTTCTCTAAACATGTGCTGGGGGTTTTGTTGTTTTTTGGTGAACTATTGATTGACCAAATAGCATGAATGATGCCGACAGGGGCAAGCTCCTGAGCAAAGTGCTCGGTGGTTTTCGCCAACGTAACACACCAGTAGGACCAGCATTCGGATCAAGAAATGACCGACCCACGACTCCCCTTCTTGTCCCCTTTCAGCCACTAATTTACAGGGTAGTCACTATTTAAAAATAATTTTTTTATTGATTTGAGAGAAACATTTATATGTTGCTCCACTTATTTATGCATCATCTATCGGGTGGGGGGATGGAACCCACAACCTTGGCCTATCTGGATGATCCTCTAGCCAACCTGAGCTACCTGACCAAAGCTGAGTATTCACTATCCTGACTTCTGTCACCATAGATTAGATTTCTCTGTTTCTGTACTTTGTATAAATGGAATCAAAAAATGTGTACACTTTGGTGTCTGGCTTTTTTTCTTTTTAAGCTTTTTTATTACGGTAATATATACATAGAACTTACGACTTGAACCATTTTTAAGTGGCTAACTCAGTGGCATGAAGCACATTCACAACGTTGTGCACCCATCACGCTATCCATTTCCTGTACCCATTCCTTCTCCCGCCTCTAGTCTAAGTATCTCATATAAGTGGAATCATACACTATTTGTCTTTTCATGTCTACCTCATTTCACTTAGCATGTTTTCAAGGGTCATTCATGTTGTAGACCATATCAAAATTGTATTCCTTTTTAAGAGTGATTAATATTTCATTATATGTCTATATCACATTTTATTTATCCATTCATCTGTCAATGGACACTTACGTTCTTTCCACCTTTGGGCTATTGTGAATAATGTTGCTGTGAACATTGATGTACAAGTATCTGTTTGAATTTCTCCTTTTAATGCTTTTGTTTGGCTTTTTTTGCTCAACAGTATGTTTTTGAGATTGAAGATACTGTTTTAATTTCTGCATGTATGTACCTTTTGGGTTAAAACTTAGTACTTTTATTTTGAATGACATAGGATGGAGCACAACATCATGTTACGGTTAAATAGAATTTTGACAAATGAGTAGAGATTTACCAAGCAGGGTTCCAGAGAGAGAATAGCAGGTTCAAGGCCCCTCAAATATTTGAGGAAATGAATAAACCAATGAGTTGAACCAGTGTTAATCATTTTGAGAGTTTATTACATGCTAGGAAATGTGCTGTATATTTGTATGATCTTATTGTCGATATTTGGTCCCCTACTCTTTTCATTTAACTACATACCATGAAGTTTTTCCCACTTCATCGATTTAAAGATTTTATTTAGCCCTGGCTGGTGTGGCTCAGTAGATTGAGTGCCAGCCTGCAAACCAAGGGGTTGCCAGTTCAATTCCCGGTAGGGCATATGCCTGGGTTGCAGGCCAAGTCCCCGTTAGGGGACACGCAAAACGCAACCACACATCGATGTTTCTCTCCTTCTGTTTCTCCCTCCCTTCCTTCCATAAAATTAACTAAATAAAATCTTTGAAAAAAGAAGAGGAGGCTCTGGGGCTTCGATGGTGCCTGGCTGGTCTCTCTTAAAAAAAAAAAAAAAAGATTGTATTTATTTCTTTATTATTAGAGAGAGGAGAAGGGAAGGAGAAAGAGGGAGAGAAACATCAACGTGTGAGAGATCACATCAATCGGCTGCCTTTCACAGGCCCCTAACTGAGGACCTGGCCTGAAACCCAGGTATGTGCCCTGACTGGGAATCGAATCAGCAACCTTTTGGTTCATAGGCCTGTGCTCAGTCCACTGAGCCATACCAGCCAGGGCTCATTGAATATTTTTATAACATACTTTTAAATAGCTTCTCAACAGGATTACCTTCTATGTGGCACCATGATTTTTAAACTAATCGTATCATCTGGACAGAGATTTACATTGTTTTCAGTACTTTGTTTTTAAACAGTGTTTTAATAAACATCTTTGTATGTTTTTGAAGGCAGAGTTTTGTACACATCCATGATTTTTTTCCCCCCCAGGACAAACTCCTGAAACTGGAATTGCTGGATCAAAAGGTGTTCACATTTTTAAGGTTTTGATGCATAGTGCCAGTTTGTCCTCTAGAAGGTTGTACCTATTTCCATTCCTACCAGCAGTGTGAATAGCACCTGCTAGCATTCCCTTCCCTAAAAGCATGGTAGAGGCTAAAGAGGAACAGGGAATAGATGGGCCAGGTTTTGAGAGATGTGAGAATCACGAAAGATGTTTTTAAGCCAGAGGAAAGAGCAGAGAAGGGGAGACGTGAGGATAAAGGCAACCTGCGAAGGGCAGGATTGACTGAGCAGAGCCCTCTGGAGCCCTGGAGGGCTGAGCCAGCAGCGAGTGGGGCTTGCGCTGGGGAGGAGGTGGGAAATTGGCTGCCCCAGGTACATGATTCATCCATTTGGGTTAGGCACATACACTGTGTCCCCAGGTTGCAGGGACTGACCTTTGCCATAACATTTATTACACTATATTGTCATTTTCCATTTTTTCTCTTATCAAATTCCTTGAATGCAGGAACTGTGTTTTTTTAAAATTATATTTTATTGATTATGCTATTACGGTTGTCCCACTTTTCTCCCCTTTGCTCCCCTCCACCCAGCACCCCCCACTCCCTCAGGCAATCCCCACACCATTGTTCCTGTCCATGGGTCATTTGCAGGTTCTTTGGCTACTCCATTTCCTGCACTGTATTTTACATCCCCACGGCTATTCTGTAACCACCTATTTGTACTTCTTAATCCCCAGACCTCTTCACTCATTCCCCCATGACTCTCTCCATTCGGGCAACCATCAAAATGCTCTCCATATCCATGATTCTGTCTCTGTTCTTGGTTACTTAGTTTGTTTTTTAGATTCAATTTTTGGTATTTGTTGCCATTTTATTGTTCATACTCTAATTTTCTTAAATGAGTCCCTTTAACGTTTCATTTCATTTATAATAGTTTGGTGATGATGAACTCATTTAGTTTTCTTCTTGTCTGGGAAGCTCTTTATCTGCCCTTTGATTCTAAATAATAGCTTTGCTGGGTAGAGCAATCTTGGCTGTAGGTCCCTGCTTTTCATGACTTTCATGGCAAGAGACTTCTTGCCAATCTCTTCTAATCTGCAAAGTTTCTTTTGAGAAATCCGTTGGCAGTTTTATAGGAATTCCCTTGTAGGTAACTGACTGCTATTTTCTTGCTGCTTTTAAGATTCTCTTTTTATCTTTAACCTTTAGCATTTTAATTATGATGTGTCTTGGTATGGGCCTCTTTGCATCCGTCTTGTTTGGGACTCTCTGTGCTTCCTGGACTTGCATATCTATTTTCTTCACCAAATTAGGGAAGTTTTCTTTCATTATTTCTTCAAATAGATTTCCAGTTTCTCACTCTTTCTCTTCCCCTTCTGGCACCCCTATGATGTGAATGTTGGAACACTTGAAGTTGTCCCACAGACTGCTTATACTATCTTCATTTTTTTGGATTCTTTTTTCTTCTTGTTGTTCTGATTGGTCGTTTTTTGCTTCCTTATGTTCCATATCATTGATTTGATTCTCAGCTTCATCAACTGTACTGTTGTTTCCCTGTTAATTGTTCTTTATTTCAATTAGTGTATCCTTTGTCTCTGACTGGATCTTTCCTTATAACTAGTGTTTTGAACTCTGCATCTGATAGATTGCAAATCTCCATTTTGTTTAGTTCTTTTTCTGGAGTTTTGATCTGTTCTTTCATTTGGGCCACGTTTCTTTGTCTCCTCATTTTGGCAGCCTCCCTGTGTTTATTTCTATATATTAGGTAGAACCGCTATGACTTCCTGTCTTGGTAGAGTGGCCTAATGTAGTCGGTGTCCAGTAGCACAGCCTCCCCTATCACCCAAGCTGGGTACTCAAGGTGTGCCCTTCATGTGGGCTGAGTACACCCTCCCTTTGAAGTTGAGCCTTGATTACTATTGTCAGGTCAGTAGGAGGGATTTACCCAGGCCTGTCAGCTGCAAGAACTGGCTGTGACCACTCACCACCAATCTCTGCCCTCCGTGGGGGATCAGCTATGCAGGAGCAGGGTGGTGATGCTCCAGGGTGGCCTGTAGCTGTCCACTGGGTGCGCTGGCTCTGGGGTTTCCCAGGTGGTGCAGGCCAAGGTCAGCCCCCACCTGTGTTTTGCCTGGGGCCACCTTGCCTGAGCTGTAAAGCAATCTGAGAAGGCTGCTACTTGTGCTGGGCCTGGGGATTCTCAGGTGAAGCCAAGCTGTAGATTTAGGCTGGTTGCTGCTAGTTCTGAGCTTAAGGCCCCTTAGAAAGAGGTATGGGGACTGAGAACTCACTGAAGCTGGCTATTGGTTGTTTGGGAGGATTTAGGAAATTGTGAAGCCTGAGCCAAGACCGACCATTCATATGGAAAAGCAACTTGAGTGGGCTGGTAAGTTGGATGGGATGGAGTCTCTGGGGATCTGCAGGGTGGAGCACTGTTAGCCAGGTTGATGGAGTCTCAGATATGGCACTAGCTTGCCCACTCTGTAGCTCTGTTTGGAGAGGGTTCAGAAAAGAGATAGTGGCCCACCTTTCTGTCTGGGAGAAGGCCGTCCCCCAGGTCTTGCCTTGACACCAGGCACTTCGCTTTCTCCCTGTGTGCCACTGGTGCCTTTCAAGCTGCTATCCTGGTGGTGGAGCTCAGGGAATGAGTCTGATTAAGTCCACGTGTGGGTTCTTTAAGAGGAAACGCTTGGGACTCCAGAAGTTTCTTTCGCCAACTCATTCCCCACTGGTTTTGTAGCCAGAAGTTATCTTTCTGGCGCTGGAACCCTGGGCTGGGAGGCGTGGTGTGGGGCTGGGACTCCTTGCTCCCAAGATATCCCTTCTGAATTTTTATCCACCACACTTAGATGTGGGACCAGCCTGTTCCATGTCTGCCCCCTCCTACCTGTCTGGATGGATGTGTTTTTTTTTTTTAATTGTATAGTTGTCAGACTTCTATTCAACTTGATTTCCGATGGTTCTGAGTGATGGTTGTTCTGTAGTTTAGTTGTAATTTTGATGTGGTTGTGCGAGGAAGCGTGCCATGTTTACCTATGCTGCCATCTTGACCGGAATTCTCTCTCGTGTTTTTTCTTTTATTATTCCAGTATCCCCCAAATGTATTCCAATGCCTGCATGCATCAGGTACGTGTTAAAGATTTGTTAAATAAATGATGGATGGGTTCAGAGAAGTTAGGGGAAAGAGATTGGGAATTTAAGAGGATTCGCTTATCTGCTAGTCAGAGGCGAAGTCTTAAGAGTGAGGAAAATGGATGGAAGAAGGGAGGGTTGGCCAGGAATGAGACAGTCTTGGAATGCTCAGCAGCTGGGACGAAGGGCTGGAAAAAGTGGAAGTTGAGTCTGACAAGAGATAGGTTTTGTGAGTTTGTACAGCAAAGGACAAGATGCAGTTAAGGGTATTTTGAAAGGGGGGCTTTCAGGCTTTGGGTTTTGAGGTTCGCTGTTTTTCGCCGGAGGAAAGAAAGAATTCCGCAGCAGGGACCATGCTACCACCCAAAACTGGTTCTTTTAAGTATAGTAATAATTAACCGAGTATTTTAATGGATCTTAACTTCATTGAACATTGTTCATAATGTAGTTTAGGAGCTGTTTATTTTTCTTGAACTATTGAACTTAGGTGTTTTTATACTTTTATGTGCAATTAAGATGCCTATAGAACAGTGAATGTATCTATAAATTCTGGGATGCTGCCTTAACTAAATATGTTTCTAATACATCTGGTTTATTAAAAAACTAAAAGTGCTTGGGGGATAAGATTGATGGCGTTTAGGGTACAAACTTGTAATGAGTAGTAAGTAAGCCACTCGAATGCACAGTTTAGTGAATATAGTCTATAATACTGGACTATAATGATGCAATATGATAAATATTCCTTCAGTGGCAATCATATTACAATATATAAATGCATCAAAGTAACACACTGCACATCTTAAATTTGCAAAATGTAACACATCAAATTTATCCAATAAAAAAATGTTTAAAGAAACACAAAGTGCTCCTTTCCTAACCACTAGATGTTGTTTCACGTTTGCCACACTGATAGACCAAAGATTTTTAACCCATGTGCTGCAAGAATTTGTAAAACATGCAGTGCCCGACCATTTAGTCAGGGACACTGTCATATGAAGAAATGACAACAGCCAACACAACAATAGCCATCTGGTGTGAATGATTCAAAATTCTACCTATTTTTTTTTTTTTTTTTTGTCAGATCAGCAATATTTTTTTGGTGTGCTGCAGAATTTTAGTAATTAGTTTATATGTGCCTTGAAATGAAAAAGGTTGAAAATCGCTGCAGTAAGCAAACAGTGTCTCTCTCTTTAATTTGCATTAATTGGATTACTAGTGAGTGTGCACGTTTTACATAGTTCATCAACTAGTTTGTAAATTAACTCTTTGGGCTTTGTGCCTTTTCTTCTATTTTTTTTTTTTTTAATTTCACAATAATCCGTGTGTACCCCACCGTGAAAAATTCAGATACCGGCCACCAAAAGCCCCGTGGGCACTGTCCCTTTTCCCTGCCCAGGGGGAGAATTCTTGGGTGCATGCCTGCCTGCCTTGTCTTTTCCTGTTCCTCTATAATCATGGGGTTTGTATTGTTTCGTTTAGTTTTTGCTGTACATATTGTATTCCAACCTGTTTTTTTCTCCTTAGCAACAGTCTTGAAAATTTTTCCAAGACAATGTACATGCTATTCACCTGGAATCCCTTCCCAGTTCTTTCCTGCTGAGGGTTCTTACCCTTTGTAAGGGCTGAATTGTATTTCCTACATGGATTTGTGTACCACCTCCCACTTGCTGCCTTGTTACAAGCAATGCCGGGATGAGTATTCCCATATGTACCAGCCTTTCGTGTAACTAGGGAGCAATGTTTAAGGGTACCACTAAATTGCCCACCAAAGAAGCAGTTTCCTTTCCCATCAAGAGGATGTGCAAGAACTCATTTCTCCATATCGTCACAGGCCTTGCATATTATCAATCTTTAAAATTTCCCCTAATCTAGTGGACTATATTGCTGTTTTAATTTGTTTGTCCCTGGTTGCTGGTGATACTATCATTCACTTAGATATTTGAGTGTCCACTCTCTGGTAGGCACTGTAGAGGTACCAAGCCAACAATGATAATGAAATGGATGTCATTCCTGCCCTGGCCTGGTGGCTTAGTTGGTTGGAGCATCGTCCTGTGCACCAAAAGGTTGCGGGTTCAACCCCCAGTTGGGGCACATGCCTAGGTTGCCGGTTCATTCCCTGGTCTAGGCATATACGGGAGGCAACTGATCGTTGTTTCTCTCTCACATTAATGTTGCTCTCTCCCCCTGCTTCCTCTCTCTAAAATCAATAAAAACATCCTCTGGTGAGAATTTAAAAAACAACAACAACAACAACAGGTGTTATTCCTGCCCTCACAGATCAAGGAAATAAAATCTTTTAGCTGTACTACATTTTTCAATATTTTGCCTTTTACATGTGTTAATGGATTGGTGTTTCTATAACACCAAATTTAAACTTTTTCTGTATCCAGATCTATTAATCTTTTCTTTTATGCTTTTACACTGGAAAATCTCCTACCCCCAAATGACATACATAATCCCATGTATCTTTTGTTTTCTTTAAACAAGTATCTTGTAGTTGTAAGCAAACAGAAAAAGCTGGGCTCAGAGGGGTTAGCCTGCTGTGAGGGGGGCAGACAACTCAGCCCCATGCCCTGGGAGTGAAGCTCCGAGCTTGGGCCCAGGGCTAGAGGGAATTTCCCTCTCTTCTCTCGTGCCCATGGCTCTATGAAGTTAAAGTGAAAACGTCCAGAAAGCAGAGGTCTCTGCTCTGCATAATAAGGTAAAAGCCTGTCTTTGTGTTGGTCAAAGGGCATCTCTGCAGATAACAACTCCGCAGAGGAGGGGAGGCCCCACCAACTGCAGGAAGCCAACCCAGGACTTCGGGCTTTTTGCTACCGCACAGCTCCAAATGGTAATGGCTCCTGGGATCCCAGAGTCCCTCAGCAAAAGGACAGGGGCGTGGGCTGCTGGGAGCCCCTCCTCAGTTCCCTCCCAAGGTGGCTACTACAGATTCAGGGACTGGGAGGGGCCTTGTGTTGTTTACACCCTTTTTCCTATCACAAGAGTAAGTGTTGCTCACTGCAGAAAACTTGGGAACCTTAGGAGAGGGCAAAGTGGGGAAAATAAACATGGAGTGATAGGTATCCTAGTCACATTTCAACCTAACAATATCCACACATCGGTACTGTGCATAAATCATTTATTTGCGCTCATAAAAACTAACTTGTCTTGAAAAGCTTCCTCGGTGAATGGTGGTATATTTGACTCTGGAACCAGAGGAGGAAGTGAGAGAGAAGGAGGGGACAGCGGGTGGCTGGTCCTCTTGCCACAGGCCCTCAGAGCTCACAAGTGTGGTGACCGCTGTACAAGACACCATGCATGGGGGCGAGGCGCAACACAACCATAAGTGGGTGCCGGCCATCATGCGTTTATTCCTCCCTCAACAAGCACTGACTGAAATGCCTGTTCAAGGAGTATGGTGCCCGTCAGCCTGGCTGAGGCAGACACAGGCTCTTAAGATGATACCAAGGAAGGTTCCCGGCTCAGTGGGTCAGAGAGTGCTAGTGAGCTATCCTGAGAATAAAATCAACTTCAGCCAGGATTAAAAAAAAAATACACACACACACACACGAAGGGTGTACCAAGGAGGGGGAACACCTGGAAACGGTTTTAAAAGCATGGGTTTCATGCCTTGGCTGGTGTGGCTCAGTGGGCACCAGCCTGCGAACCAAAAGGCTGCCAGTTTGATTCCCGGTTAGGGCACATTCCTGGGTTGCAGGCTAGGTCCCCGGTTCAACCAACCAATCGATATTTCTCTCCTTCTCTTTCTCCCTCCCTTCTCCTCTCTCTAAAAAAATAAAATCTTAGGAAACAAAAAAAACAGAGAGCGTGGGTTTCAAGATCAGTCTGTGAGGTCCGTCCCTCAAATGACAATGGCAACTAAGCGTCACTCTTTAGGAAGCTGAACAGATACAAGTTGGCAGGGGACAGGGGTGCAACAAGGATCACCACCTCCTGGATCTGGGCCTGGGTGGATGGAGGGGCCGTCATCCACTTGGGCACAGGACAGGAGAGGGGTGAAGGCTGAGTCTGCAGACCTTCCCATCAGAGGGCAGGGCTGAAGCTCAGACCGGGCTGGAGGTCAGCAGTTGGCTCAGGAAGCCAGTGGAGGGATGAGCCTGTCCAGGACTGTGCGCAGCGTGGCTGGAGGGCGAGCGACTGGTTCTCTGGGGCTGAGGGATACGATGGATGAGGAAAGCGGGACAAGCTGTGGGAGCAGCCTGGCGTGGCGCTCACTGGATGTGCCCCTCCACACGAAGCAGCAAGTAGTCCCTGAGGAGCTGGGGCAGCGGGAGGCGCGCAGCGGCCTGTCGGCAGCGGTCACCCAACTGAGCGCGCACAGCCAGCCGGGCCAGGTGCTGCAGCCGTCTTGGTTGGTTCACCATGCTCAGGGCTGAGCTATAGAAGGCTTCATGCTCCTAGACGGGTGGAACAGGGTCAGACAAGGCCCAACACCCTTGACTCTGCCCTTCCACGGTGGGCCACCTAGTGGTAGGGCCCTAGTATTTTGCAGCATGTAAAATTCGGTGCGTACTGAAGGACTCAAGATTGCGAGCCAGAGAGCTGGGGCCACACTGCAAAGCCCCATCTCAGCCATGTCTGTGCCCACCCCGACTCCAAAGAGTCTGAGCGCCCACCGAGTTGGAGAAGCCTGATAAATGTGTGGAATTAGAGGGGGTTCTGAGCTGCTAGAAACCAGGGGTTTCACTCTGCCCGCCACCAGCCCAGGGGCCCTCCTGCCCTCCCTCTAGGAAGCCCACCCTCCCTTCCATCTCCCCCGGAGTCCGGGATCGATCTGTGCCCCGGGGCGGGCGTACCTGCCACAGCTCTGGGAGTACGGCTTCCACCCAGGTGTCACAGGATGGCACACAAGGGTAGGCATTAAGCAGGACTTCCAGGGCCCGCGGAAAGTTGGCACAGTGTTTCAGCATCTAGGAATGGAAAGAGGGCCTCCGGGGCACCGTGCCTCGCCCAACCAGGGGCATGCGCCTCTCATACTTTCCATGCATCAGTTTACCGCGCTCTCGGGTGCTCCACAACTTCCTGGCCCCAGCTAGTTTCCTGCGGACCTATTTTCTCCCTTGGATACCTTCCCCCATAGCCCTCACTGGTTCTTCCCAAGATGGAGCCAAACCTCTGGCCACAAACGGTGGGCTCCGTGACTCGACCCCGTCCTCTTCACCCAGAGGTGAGCCAATTGCATAGGCAGCCCTCCACCCCGAACTGGAGCCGCCTTTCACAGGCTCCTCCCCCTACGCACCTCAGGGTGCACTGGCTGGGCCCCGTAGTCCAGCAGCGCCGCGAAGAGGACCTCGGGCTCCCAGTTAGGCGCATCCTGGACAGCCTGCAGCGCACAGTCCATGGGTGTGTGGCCTGCTGCATTGGGCACTCCGACGCAGGCCCCGTGGCGCAGCAGCAGCTCGGCCAGGGCCCCGCAGCCATTGGCACAGGCGTTGTGCAGTGGCGTGTGGCGCTTGCGCCCGGCCACGCGGGCATCAGCCCCGGCCTCCAGGAGCTGGCACACCGCAGCCTGGTGCTTCCGGCTGCTGCCCGGGCCTTCAGCCCCAGCACAAGCCGCGTTCAGGGCCGTCTCACCCTGGCTGGTGCGCAGGCGCACATCGGCTCCGTACTCCAAGTAGAGAGCCACGTGCTCCTCCAGGCCGCGCGCTGCCACCACGTGCAGGGGTGTCACCTCGCTGTCCCTCGCAGCGGCATTCACCGTAGCTCCAGCCTCCAACAGCAGCTTAGCGCACCTGGGGGGCAGGGCACAAGGTGCCACGATAAATCCTGAGAAATCAAGGCGTGGCCTGGGAACCCCTCAGCCTGCTGTCATCCCTTACCCCCTTTCTTCCCGTCCCCCACAACTGGAGGCGAACCTGGTGTCCACCGTCAGACTTACAGAAAGCCCCGCGGCAGACAGAAGAGCTGAAAGGCCCATGAAAGTCACCAAAAGCATCTTCAGTTTTCACTCGAAAAACTTCAGCCCAAAAAGGTCACAGTGCAGCCAAGGACACACAGCAGGTCAGTGGCTACGCCGGAATTAGTACTCACTGTTCCCGACTTCCCGGAGTCTAACCTGACGCCCCAATGCCACTGAGACCCCAAGGCCTGGTTCTGAATCATTTGTCTCGACATTTTTTTAAAGGTTTTATTTATTTATTTTTAGAGAGAGGGGAAGGGAGGGGGAAAGAGAGGGTAAGAAACATCGATCAAGGGTCGCCTCTTGTAAATGCCCCAACTAGGACCAAACCAGTAACCCCAGCACGTGGCCTGACTGGGAAGCAGACAGACAACCTTTTGATTCGCGGGATGATGCCCAACCAACTGAGCCACACCAGTCAGGGCTGTCTCCTAACATTTTGATAGCACGCACATAATTGGAAACCCACTACTGTGTATACTATGAAACAGAAAATTAAAAGAAATTCTAGTATTTTTCTCCCTGCCTCCAAACTTGAAGACCACCCTTTCAGACAAGCCATACCCATTCCAATAAAAAAAGTCACTTGGGGACCTACCTACTCCACTTTCCTCTAAAAAAAAAACAAAACCAAACAACAAAAACTAGATTTTAGGAGCACACGTCTTTTCGCAGTCTTCAAGCTCCTGGAAAAATTACAGGCCAGAACACTGTAGAGGCAAATATTCATCATTAACCACCATGGGGTGAACCAAACACACAACAAACTAAATTAATGATGAAACTAAAGTAACAGTAATTCAGAATTAAAAAGCCAGAATGCCAGTCACCAAAGCTCAGGAGCAGATCTAGCAACCCCAATGAAAACCTGACGGCCAAGTGTCCTTCCCCCAATGGCCAGAACTTCAGTTCCTTCAGTGCACGTGTCCAGTAGACACTTTGCTCAGTGGCCAGGAATTGAGCAGCAGCCAGTCATTCATAACAACTGAATTCATTTCCTTGGTAAATTCTAATCATGGGCTAATTTTTGCTTCCAAATACTAATCTTAACATTGAAAATCTCAGCAGGATTTCAGTAAGCGGAACTATTCCCACATCACTTAAAAGGATAAAGTCCCATAAGAACTCAAGGAAGGGCCGGGGGAGAAAAAAGAACAAATAAAACAATAACAACAACAACAACAAAAGGAAACAACAAGCAAAACAGAAAGGGCTAAAAATTTTGGATCACTCTGTTCCATCCCTGATCTAGATTTAAGCAGGGGAGAGGTTCCCAGCACGGGGCCTGTGGAGTGTCCCCCAGGAGTGATTGAATCCTTACCAGGGACACCCTGTCTGTGGGCCCAATTTATAAAAATGCAAATACCACCATATAGGGGGGCCAGGAAACTGTTAACCTTAAGAAGGTGGGAAGAGAAAAAAAAAACAAAAGGTGGAATGAGAGCTGCTATGTGGGGCTGCATACTAATGTTGGGAAACACCAGGCTTGATTTTTTTTTTTTTAAGAAAATTTGTCTTTGTGCCAGGAAAGATATTTGTTCATAAGTCATGCAGTTTATCAAGGATTTAAGATTTTATTTATTTAGAGAGAGGGGAAGGGAGGGACAAAGAGAAGGAGAGAAACATTGATGTGCAAATAGAAACATTGATCAGTTGCCTCTTGCAGGCCCTCAACTGGGGACCTGGCCCACAACCCAGGTATGTGCCCCAACTAGGAATTGAACCCACAACCTTTCAGTTTGCAGGCTGGTGCTCAGTCCACTGAGCTACACCAGCCAGGGCTAGATCTCTCCTGATGCCTACCTCAAAACAGCTAGGAGTTTGCCTACAGAGGGTTCCCAGGGAATGAGAGACTGTAGTTGAAACAGGGTTTTCCCAAAAAGCAACAGGGCTTTTCTGCCTTCTGGGCTTAGCTGATGTGACCTTGGACAAATCACTAAACCTTTTTGAGCCTCAGTTTAGTCTCTTTAGTCTCCCAGGTTGTTGTGAGGACATGAGAATATAAGGTGCTTCTCCCTTCTGGCCATGTAAGCTGCAGACCCTCTCTCCCTCCCTCCCTTCCTCCCTCCCTCCCTCCCTCCCTCCCTCCCTCCCTCCCTCCTTCCCTCCTCATACCCTGGGCACTTACTGCAAGGACCCAGGGGCTGTGCAGAGATGCAAGGGAGTTGTGCCTTCCTCAGACAGTATATTGGCCTTGGCGCCAAAGGTCAGCAGCAGCCGCACGCAGTCCGCCTGGGCCTGGGCACATGCCTCGTGCAAGGCTGCCCGGCCCCCAACCCGGGCATCCAGCTCAGCTCCCTGCTGGATGAGGTGGCGGGCGCAGTCCGTATAACCTCGGGCCGCAGCAATAGTGAGAGGCACTGTCTGCTTGGTCTTGGGGGTCAGCACCCAGAACCCTGTGGAGAGTATACAGTGTTTGGGGGGAGGATGAGACCCACAGGCAGGGCAGGCTGCGGTGAACGGCTGATGTTGGCTTTCCCTCTGTACCCCTGGCCAAGCACACAAGCTCTGTGCCCAGCTGTACCTGTGGAAGGGGCTCATTCAAGCCCTGATTTGGGAGATTAAGTCGGAAAAGCCTTTTAGAACAGTTTGTCAATCTGTAACAAAACATAGTATGTGTGTCACAGAAACAAAAATTGTTGCTCTTTAAAACCCTAAGAGCAATTAAAGAAGGTGAATCTTGTTAGGGTCTTTGAGCTGCTGATGGAGTTCTTGCCTCTTTTGGTTCCCTTGGGGCTCTGGCGTTGGGGGTGGGGGAGAGTTATAAACAGGAGGTCCTGGAGCTGAGCTTGGAAGCAGCCAATGAGCAGAGATGAAGGAGCCGTGAGTTGGGAGTTCCATGACACTGCTGGGGTGGGGAGGGTGTTGGGGGGAGGTTGGAAGGAGAGGATGGGAGGTGGGGGAGGGGAAAGGAAGAGTGGTGAGAGGGTATGATCACAGGACCGGTGTTGGATCCAAATTGTAGAAATGACGAAAGCCCTGTTAAAGGACACTGATGCTTAATATCCAACTATAAGTTGTTTGCATTATGGCAAAGTACATCCTGAGTAAAGCATGTTTTGTTTATTATTAGGATTGAAATAAGGCCAAGTGCCATTGGAAGGATGATGGACATGCTGCAGGATGAGACCAGGATGTCTTGTGCAGGTTCCCGTCTCTAATAGTTGAAGACAAGCAGGAATTTGGAGCCTGTGGTGACTGTACAAACACACTCTCCACGGATTTTGAATCCCCAAGTCTGTGGGCGGGGTTGGAGGCAATCCCTTGTCCACTAAATGGGGCAACCTGAATTGAGGTGTTTGCTTTACATGGACAAACCCTCCAGTCAGAATAGATCCTAAGGAAATCAGCTGGCAAGTAGGCAAAGAAGTTCATCATATTGCTATTTAAAATAGTCTTTAAGAAAGGAGCCCAATCTATCCAATCCATTTGGGGGCCGAGTTATATAAATCATGGCATACCTGTAGAGTAGAATTTATGCCCCTATATGAAATATTATGTCAATGTATGGTTATTGACATATGTTACCTGAAAAAAATGAGGTTATAAAATAGCATATGGATTATAATATCATTCTGTGGAAGAAGGAATATTCATGTGTGGATATATATTCATAGAAAAATTATATTAGAATATAATTGTGTTCCTATGTAGTTAATATAACACATTGGTATAACTTTAATTCTGATAAAATGTACAAACCACTAACCATGCCTCTTCTCTGTTTAGGAGGGAGCTGGCATGAGCAGTGGGAAGAAATAGTGTAGTTTATGTTCTGGAGGGAGGGGACGGGGCTGAGATGTTCCCCTTTCCCCACCCCCACCCTTCCCTCTCCTGCCTCTTCTGCCCCCACCTGCTGCTCCCTACCCTGTTCAGGAGACCAGGCCAGCTGGTTGCTCACAGTCTCCACAATCATGTTGGCAGCATCTTCATCCTGGAACAAGGCTTGGACCTGTTGCAGGTCGCCAGAGAACAGGGCATTGTGGACCGCTGGGGCTCGGCACGAGCGGCGTGGCCTAGTGAGTCGGGCCCTGGAGCTTGGGGAGCACCTTTGACTCCGGCACCGCTGGGCCGCTGCCTGGCGCCGGTCCTCCCACTCCAGCCACTCTCGCTGCAGGCGGAGGGAGCGCAGTGTGGAAGAGGTGAAGGGGAAGGTCTCTTTGGCCATGAGAAGGGGTGCAGGGATCTGGCCTGTGGCAGCTGGGCAGAGCCTGGTGACTACCACCCTTGTTCTGAGGAGCCACCCTGCCCCCTCACCCGTGATCCAGGGAGAGCAGCAGCTGAGGCTATAAATAGGCTCTTCGCTCTCTGGTAAACACATTTGCCCAGAGTCCTGATCCTGGTGCAGAGAAGGTGTTGGGCCAACCCCCCCACCCACACAGGGGTAGGGCCAGCCCCTGCCCCTGCTCACGCCCTCCCGCTGGGCAGCAGGCCCTCAGAGGAGGCCGTCCCTGCACCCCAGGGTCCACATCCTCCCGCTTCCCAGGAGTGAGCACCTTGGGTTGGCAGGACTGAGGTGAGCGAAGCAGTCAGTCAGGGAGGTGGACAAGGGGGAAGAGCCAGAGTCCCCCGGCCTCCCTGATGTTGGCTGGAGGGCGGACACCAGCCCTGGGAAGAAGGGCAGGTAGAGGCAGAGTTCAAACAGCTCTTCCCGCACCTGCAGTAGTAGCTGTAGCTCTGCACATGTATGCACAGGGCTCAACAATATTTAAATCACTTTTATATCCATCTTTACTTGATGACCATATTTCCTGGCTCACCCAGGTAAACAGTAAACTTGGTGTTGACACTAAAGTATATAATCAGGCTAATTATCACACTTGAACACCTCTGAGGTGGGTGGTTTTATGTCTGTTTACTGAGGAGAAACTAAGGCTTAACAAGGTAAAACTGCTTGCTCACTGTCACAGCTTGAGAGGGGCAGAGTCAGGACCAGGACCCCCACTGGCCTGACCCCACAGGGCGCTTTGGCTGTAGCCCCTGTGGCCATGTGAGAGGAAACAGGGTTATGAGCCCCTCCCTACCTTCCAAGCAAGACGTGGTCTCTAGAAACTACCTTCAGCGAGCCCCCGCACACCTTCACCCGATCCCAGCTCCTAAAAGGGCTCGCCTGCTCGCCTGCTTGCCCGCGAGCCAACGGCTTGACCTTGCAACTCTGGGGTCTCCTGACCAAAGAGACCTTTAAGCAAGGAACCCATGCACTCAGGAGAAAGCTGCTCTGCCTCCAGGAGCCTCTAGGGGGAGGAGTGAGGCCGGGAAATAACAAGCCCGTGTGGCTGCCAGGCCTGGGAAGGGGAGGCTGGAGGGAGACCAGCTGGAGCCTCAGCAGCTCTCCTAGCCGGGAGCTCACTCAGCGCGCGGGTGGGCCTAGTCCCGTCCTGCCCTGGCCGCTGTGGCTGGCCTGTCTCCCTCGGCACTGTCGGCTCCCCTTGGCGCCTCTGCCCTTGCGCTTCCTCCCCTCCTGGCTCGGCAGCAGCCCCTTGCTCAGTTACCGGCAACCTCTTCCTCACCCCAGCCCCTCACCCAAACAAGTTCCAGCTCCCACGCTCGTATTTACCGTCACCCTCTCCACATTTTTAACTTGGACAAGCTCAGCCTCCTGCCTGGTGTTCCGTCCTCCAGCCCCATCCCCTCTGCTCCACTGCCTAAATTGAATGGTCTAACTAAAATGATTAATTCCCAGCTTGAAAGCTTCTGCTGACTTCAGACCCCTCCCCTCCCCAGTCAAGCCCCAGTTCCTTGGTTTGGCCTCAGGCCACAGCGTTCTCCTTCTCATCGGGGCTCCTCACCCTTCCCTGCCATTCCCTTCTGCGTGGAATTTGCTCCAGACTCATTCCTCCAAGTCCACCTCAAAGGTCACCGGTTCTGGGAGACATCCCTGCAGCAGCCCCAGGTCCCCCACTCATCTGTTTCCAGCCACTCCCCACGTGTGCACTTTGTAAAGCGCCTGTCCCAGTGTGCCGTAGACGACAGGCGGCCACACCGGATGTGGGCCCCAGGGGAGGCTCCAGGTTTATTCAGTTAGGTGGCTGGTCCCAGCAGGGCCTGGCACACAGTAGGTCCTGACGTGGTGTTTAGGGGCACTTGGCGCACAGCAGGCTCACCTCTGATGTTAGTGCACTGACTGAGGGCCTCTGTTCTCTGCCAAGGCGAACACTCATCCGCTTGCCCAAGTGGGCGGCAGCAGCCTGGGCTGTTTCCGGCACTGCCCTCAGCCTGCTGTGCACCAGCTCTGGCCTGGCTTCTTGGTGGTGTTCCAGGGTGGGGGATCCCAGAGGAGGGATGAGGTCATGCACAGCGAAGGCTCCGCAATCCTCAGAGAAAGACTCCTCTATACGTGCAGTGGTGATTAACCCTGTTGGAACCCATTCAGTGTTTTAATTGCCCCGCCAACGGCTTCGCTGAGCACCCACAGCTGGGTTCCCAGGGTTGGGAACTGGCAAGGTTGGGTGGTGCCAAAAAGGGCCAAGATGGGGTGGGCGTCACCTCCCTCCTGAGGCTCACAATAGGCTTAGCGTGTGGGGCCTGTGAGTGTCTGAGCCCCGCAGCCTCTGTGTAGCCTTTTGTCACACAGGCGTCGAGGTGCTCTGACTACAGCTCAGTCCCCAAAGAGACCATGTGTTCTGTCTTCCGTCCTTAGCCTTACCTTCCTGAGGGCAGAAAAACTGTCCTTAGTGCTAACTTTGTGAGGCCTTTACTTCAATCCACATGTGAGCCCAGAGGGAGCCCAGTTCTACTGGCAGGAGCAGTGCCAGGTGATTGGATACCCAGCCTGACTTATTGACCTGTGGAGTGATGAAGTACACCCCCAGAAACCAGGACATCAGCCAGGACTGTAAGCAGTAGAGACCAGGGACCAAGGGGATTGAATGGGAAAGGGCACTGCAAGCCAGGGGGAGGGGCTGGTTTAGATGCAGGAAGACCTTGTGACCCCGATCTAAGCTCCAAAGACAGAGTTGGTGAGTTCACGGCGGGTAGAGGAGAAATACACGGTCTGCTCAGGTAGGAAAACCAAATGGGAGTGTGAAGGTTAAGGGTGCTGGGGAGTGAGCCCTTTTTTTGATCCTGGGCTTGGAACCCAAAAGCCTTCTAGAACAAGGCCCCACTGCAACCAGCAGCTAGCTGAGCATGGCGTTCCTAAAGCGCTTCTTCACTTGAGCTTGCAATGGACCCACGGGATCATCTGTCTTTGGGAAAAGGGAGGTTAATACCTTCGCCCAGAACAGTACCAAGCCCATGAAAGGTCCCTGCCTCACAGCTGCTTAGTGAAGACAGGCAGAAGCAGGGGAGGCTGGTGACCAAACCAGGGTCTTTAACCCACACCCCCTCCTCCAGGAGCTGAGAGAATCTTCCTTTCTTCCCTTCACTCCAGAAAAGAAAGACAAAGTTGCCAGCTTGGTACAACCAGACCTTTTACACCCCACCCACCCATGCCCCTTGTCTAACGCGGGTCTGAGAGGTAGTGTAGACAAGCTCCAGTGACCAAGAGTTGCTTGGCAACAAAATAAAGTATATTAGATTGTAACTCAAAGCATAAAATAAATACTCACAAGTCCATACCGATATAAATGAATAAAAAAAAACTGAAGAATAGGCCAATGTCTCATACAGAGGAATTCCAAATCATCTATGTGAATAGTGTTCCCTTAAGGAGGTGGAATGTAACTCCTCCTGTGCACGTGTGGACTGCACACTATGACTCCATTTCGAAGAGCACACAGTACGGAGGGGAGAGGAAGGAGGGGGGCTCTGCAGTGGGGAAAACTGACAAACCTGCCTCGGCCAGGCGGCCAAGGCCAACATCAACCCTTGACATGACGCGATGAGACTAGCACCTTACCTCTGTGGTCTTCCTCCCAAAACGTATCTAATCATGAAAACACCAGCAGGTAAATTCCAGCAGCGAGGGCACCCTATAAAGTGCCTGAGCCGCACTCAAGGCCACGAGACAAGGAAAGTCTGAGACAAAGCCACAGCCAAGAAGAGCCTGAAGAGACATGGTGGCCAAATGTACTGTGGGACCCTGGGACAGGGACAAGGGAGCAGAGGAAACTGAGGAAATCCGAAGGAAGTCTGGAGTTCAGCTAATAATCACATAGCAACACTGGTCCTTTAATTGTGACAAAGTGACCACGCGGATGGAAGACGGTAATAAGAGGGGAGACTGGGTGTGGGACGTTATGGGAACTCCCTGTAACATCTTTGTAATAATTCTGTGAATATAAATCTAAAAGAAAATGTTTATTTAAAAAAAAGAGAAAACGAGCGGCTTGGCTCTGCATGGTCAACGCCCCACTGGCCAGGTGGACAGGACGGGGAGCAGCAAGGATAGAGAGGGAAGCCAGTGAAGCAGGAGCTGCTTTATTTCAGAACAAGTGTCATGGCCACGCCCCTGCCCCCACCTGTGAACCTGGACACAGGTAAACTGGGCAGCTGCAGGCCTCGAGAGACAAGGCAGGGGGAAGCCTGAGGGTGTCCTTCCCCGTCCACGGGACAGACCGCCACCGCTGAGGTGTGGCTCCTCAGCTCCTCAGCCACGCAGGGACTGCGGTGTGAAGGGACCAGGACCAGTGTCCTCTGAAGTTAAGGTGAGGTGGGAGAGCAACACACCTCCGCTGTCGGCAGGAAGAGAACGAGGCGCCCCAGGGCTCCGGGGACAGCGGGGCAGGAGGGCTGGTCTCGAGCTGAGTTCTGGTCCGCCAGAGAAGACCCCAAGTGACGGCAGTGCAGAGTCCAAGGCGCGGGGGAGTTCTCGAGGGGAGCACCCGGGGTGGAGCACGCACAGCGGCCCCGAGCCTTGCCAGTTCTCCGGCCGTGCTGGCCTCCCTCCCTCTGGGGCGTGACCAGACAGTCAGCCTGCCTGCTCACGGCGGGTGCCCTGCCTCGGGGCGGTCCCAGCTGCTGCTCCCGCAGAAGAAGTCCTCGGGGAGCTCACTCAGGAGCCCATCCAGGTCATCTGCAGGGGGATGGAGAGGGTGGACAGACTGAGTGACCTGAGGGCTGCATGTGACTCCAGCCCAGGGCTCCCACCTTTTAGGAGGGTCTGGACCTGGCAGCACCATCAGGAGGCAGCTCTTCTTGGGCTGAGCAGCCTGACCTCCATCTTCCCTCTGCTTCCCACATACCCACACATGACAAGGGGCAAGGGCAAAAAGCCCGAGCCATTCTGCTAAGAAGAAGGCTTCCCTCGGGCCTCGGTCATTCCTCTCTTTCCACCCACAGACACGATGCCTGAGCAGAAGGGCCTCAGAGGTCCCCTGGTGCAGCCCTCTCATTGGACAGAGGGAGAAACAGGGCTTGGGAGAGCCATTCGCTGTATTCGGTCACATAGTCCATTACTCTGGCCTCTCATCTGAGGAGTGGGAGACAACATCATCCCCTTCCCCAAAGTGCCTCTGTGGGTGGAAGGAATAAAAGTAACTGTCCCTGACTGGTCCTCAGGTGGGATCTTGTGTCTGAGAATTTGGAAACCGAGCTGACCTCAGTAATCCCTGCTGCTCCGACTATTGTTAATAGCAGCAGCTAACATTTGCTGGGTGCCAGCTCTGTGCCAGGCACAGGGCCCCACAGTACACTCATCGCTTCGTTTATGCCCCGCGGCACCCCTTCACAGGGCATCTCTTGGTAGTTCCTGTTGTACTCCCCACTTTACCGAAAAGAACAGGGTTTAAAGAGGTCAAACCACTTGCTCGGGTGAGCGCACTTAGACCCCATCTGACGCCACAGACACAGCTGCTAATAGACCACTCCTGCTTAACGGGTGGGACCAGGGAGCTGTAGGAGCACGTCAGGCCGGAGCGACACCTGCAGAGCCGAGCTCCCGTCTGGCACGGGGCACTGCAAACGTGGCTGCTAGGGTGGAAGTCAGTTTGGCGGCGCTCAGAATTTAAGGTAACCAGCAACTGTTCTCAGGGAACTAGGGCTGGAATTTGATTATAACAAAAAGAGTTGTCCCCCACTGGCTACATTACGACGATTTGGAGGAACACTAAGTTAAATGGAGGGACATGAGCAGCCAGGAAACTGGGAATCAGTAAGAATTGGTTATTTGCACCTCCGACCCTTGTCCAGTCTGCTTGGCAGCCCTACAGTGGAGATGTGACACCAGCTGCAATATTCTACAGGCAACCTTCCTCATTCTTATTCCATGACCACCAGCAGCCTTCTGATGGTGGCTTAGCTTGTCATCAAGCTTACTTGCAAGGAGAGAGTGCAAGTTTCCAGAGAAGATCCAGCATAAGGATACTTTTCCACAAGATAAAAATAAATGGGCTTTGTGGTTTATCAACTGGTCTACTGTGACTCTGGTTAATGTGGAGATACCTACCCATAATCCCATGAATTCTGGCGCCAAACAGGATTGAATTTGTGGAATCAAAAATCTCAGGACTAGACCTGGGCTGTGCTGGCTTCCCCTGGGTGACGCTGCGTCCTGAGGGACCCCCTGGTCTCCCCTAAGGCATCTGTGTTTGGACCTCTCAGATCTGTTTCCTGGTCCCATCCTAACCACGTGGAGGTCTGACCCCTCAGCGCTGCCTGGAGGGCCTCTGAGCTTAGTCAGGATGGGAAAATCTGCCTCTGTCGTCTTGCCGTCAGCCCACAGAAGACCCCGGTGTGGCACAAGGATGGTGTCAGGCCACCTCCTCCCTGTGGCTCACCGTACATGGCCTGGAGATGGGGGAGACCAGTGGATCACACTCTGTTTGCTTTATGCGTCCCCTATCATGCTGTTAATTAATTTGTGGCCTGTAGGTTCACCAGAGAAGATACCACATCTGGTTTCTGTAAGATCCCATAAGATCCAAGGATTCATGGTAGGAACAAGGTGCGGTCAGAAGAACCTGGCTGAACATTTCGAGAGGAAATAGGAGAATTTCTTTTACATAAAAAAAAATTAAAAGATTTTATTTATTTCTTTTTAGGGAGAAGGAGGAGAGAGAGAAACATGCAAGAGATATATCAATTGGTTGTCTCTCGCAAGCCCCCAGCTGGGGACCTGGGCCCCAACCCAGGCATGTGCCCTGACTGGGAACTGAACCCACGACTTTTCAGTTCATAGGATGGCACTCAACCCGCTGAGCCATACCAGCCAGGGCAGAAGGAGAATTCCTTTTGCCCCTGGTTGTGCTGACTGCCTTACCTGCTTCTGGGAGTTCTTCTTCGGGGGATGTGCCTGCCTCTGGGTCCCGTGCTGTTCTGAAGTCCTCCCCGGGCTTCGCCGTCTCATGCTGGAGGCCGCCATGGAAGCTACCTGGATCCTGGGGACAGAGGGTCTGGTGACCAATGCCTTTGCCACTGAAGCCCCTCTGAACAGTACTCTCTCCACCCAGGCAACCTCAAAAGAATAGGTGGGGGCTCAGGAAAGACAGGACAGAGGAGTGTGACAGGGACCAGTTACCTAGGTCCATGCTGCAGGGGGGGAGCTGAAACACCAGACAGTCAAAACAGCGGAAAATTAAAAACACAAAACAGAAACAAAAAACCTTTTTGGCTGGGTTTCCCCCCCGCCCCATGCTACTTTTATCTAATGTTTTAGGGAATCTAGGTAACTGGAGCAGAGAGTAAAGGGGCCATTCAGAGATATGTTGAGGAGTTAGCCTGGGATGAAGAATTAGCTGTTGCCCGGGCTGGGTAGCTCAGGTGCTTGGAGCACCGTCCCGACACACGAAGGTCACAGGTTCAGTCTCCAGTCAGGGCACATACAAGAATCAAACAATGAATGCATCAACGAACAATAAACTGATGTTTCTCTTCCTTCCTCTCTCTAAATCAATAAATAATAAAAAAAAAAAATTAGCGTCAATAATCCCCAAACTAGCTAATGTATAGACAGATAATTAAAATTAGTAATAAACCATTAACCGTGGCTAGCTCTGGGGAATGGGAGTGGAGAGGTTAAGTTTCATGTTTTGTTTTATTCTGTACCATTTCGACTTTTTCAGTGAGTATGGATGACCTGAAACTTAAAAGCAGAGATGGTTTTTTTGAAGTAGGGTACTTTTGAGAGAACGTGGAAGGTTAAGTAGAAAGATGAGGGGAATGGAAATAGCAAGTTAGAGCTAAAGGTGTCACTTGACTAGAAGTCACTGATTCTAATCCACTGGTTTTACAGAGGAAGCAACAGCAGGGGAGGAGACAGGACTTGCCACGGTCACATTACAAATTACTAGCAGAACGAGGACATGACCCTGGTCTCCTGACCCCTAGGCCAGGCCATGACACCAGCCCCAGATCCCAGGAAGGGTGGGGATGGCCACAGAGGAGATGCTGTCTGTCGAGTCAAAACCAGGCTCTGCACTCTCGCCCTGGAGTGGAGCGGCCTGGAAGCGCCGTCTCCCTCAGTTCCCAAAGGGGGTGTCCCCACCTGCATTCTGCGTGGGTATCCCCTCACTTAGCAGAGAAAGGATGCAGAGCAAGTGCTGGCTGGCCTGACAGGCCATTTGTAGCTCACTGTTCTCTGCACTGCCACCTGTAGTAGATCTGACCCTCAGTCACTTACTGAGGGCCACCACCCCTGATGGGCCCTCACTGGGTTAGTTCTCAAGTGACTCCTATCCTTTCCAATGTTCGAGTTTGCCATTAGACTCTCAGGGATCACTGGGAAGCCAGCTGTTCCTCTAGGTCCTGTTACTGTGCCATCTGGCAGGCAGCTGGACTAGGGACAGGAGGAGACGGCGCTGCCTCCAAAGGCATCTCGTCAGCGCAGGGTGGAGGAGGGGGAGAAATCAGAAGACTCAGGCAGAAAGTGGCACTACCAGTCCCCGTGCCCCTTACCTTGGGGAAGGGCTGAGGCAGCGTGAGGACGTTCCCATCCCCAGAATCTGGGCTGTAAATATGGACCAGGTTGTTGGGCGTCACGTTGAGGTAGTGGTTTCGGAGGGAAGGAGAAAATACTCCAATCTGGAGTCAAGAAGGGGAAAAGCAGTGCCATGATGAAGCAGTAGGCGCTGCTAAATGGCCACCTGGTCCCCGCCTGTTTCTCCCTTGGTGGCCTCTGCCCCCTGGGCCACATCAATCGCTCTTGCCTCAGTCCTGGTGTCAGAGTAGAACCACTTAAGACACGCGCTCTCCCCCCTCTCCCCCCACACAGCACAAATTGCCCTCCCACCCACTCCTAAAGAATAGGCTCAGCCTCTGCTCAGCTCCGGGAAGCCTGGGTCCAGCACCAGCCCAGCCACTCCTTGCCTGGGTCCTGGGAGGGAAGGAGCCACACACACAACCCAGGGGCCTCCTCCAGGGCAGGAGGGGTAGAGAGCAGCACCCTATACCTGCTTCAGCAGCAGCACGGAGCCAGGCTTCAGCTCATTCTGGCGTGTCTCAAGCAGCAGTCGGTGCACCGTGCCCTGCATCTCTCCTGCAAACACCACGTGGCCCGTCAGTCCCAGGGTCAAGGGCCGCACAGGGACTGGTTTGGGCCCCAGCTGGGAAGTGGGCTGCTCGCTATTTCAATTTTCCCAACTACAAACAGAAAGGGTGACTCCTCCTCATCTCCTGCCCTCAGTGAAGCCCACCCATCAGATACCGCCAGGACCTAACTCCTCACCCGTGGGGTCCTTGAAAACCACACTGGCATCCATCGTGCTCCGAGTCAGGGACTTGATCATCACTGCCATGTTGGGGACCTTGTTCCTGGGAAGCTGCTTCAGGGCTGCCTGGTTGCAAGGAGAGGCATTTGCTGAGCCAGCCACGTCCCATCTGTAAGTGTCCCATCTGTATGTAAGTTTCCCACATGTTCCAGGGCAAACTGGGAAGTGGTAGGGATGGGGTGGGGATAGACAGGGGGCAGAGTACAGGTGTGACAATGGCCTTCCTTTGTGAGCACAAAGAGGCAGTTTAAAGGGCTCACCTCATCTACCTCTGGCAGACCTTCATTTCTTTTCCCTGCCTCATTTCTTTTGTGTCTACGTATTTATAGAGAGATCTCTATCATGGCAGGCCATGGGCAAGGATATATTGGCACATGTACTAACATGTATGTGTCTGCACATGACACCTGACCTCTGGGCAACTCTAAGGGTGAGAGTGGGCTTATCCCACCCCATCTAGGCCCTGGATGTGCACAGACATGCCCATAATACATTCCCTCCTTCTGCCTGTGCCCAATGCTGTGAATAGTAGTGGACAGGTAGGTGAGTGGAAGGCATAACCAAAGGGACTTCATGCTGCTATTCAGAACAACACCTGTGGTCAGAGGAGGTAAACAGAGGCCCCATTTCTAAGGTGGAGTAGGGCAGATGGGTGATAAAAAGGACAAAAATGGTCTTCCTTTCAAGTCCTAGCACCCAGGACCCTTACCTTCCGCAGCACCATGACGATGCTGTAGGTACAGAGGAAGCAGGTGGGGTCTCTCTCATCCAGGCCCAGAGCAGATTTCATGGTCAGCCACGGCCCACGCCCAAAATCATCCTCCACTGATGCCTGGGAACTGGTAACAACCTGGCACCGCAGAGCAGAGGGGGAGCCTGCATGAATGGGTCCACCTCGCTACAGACCTCACCTGGGCCCGGGTGGAGGCGTGGAAGAGAAAGGGCAAGTTCCCTGTAGCATGGTGGCCCGTGTCTCCTTTCATTTATCTCCAAGGTCAGAAAATGATGTGTGAGGTCTTGCTGCGTATCACATCGTAATCACACTGAGCAGCAATAGCGAAGATACGCTTTGTTTTCTTTTATTTTAAATCAGGGCCTGCGCTGGCTGATGTGGCTCAGTGGACTGAGCGCCGGCCTGTGAACCAAAGGCTCACAGGTTCAATTCCCAGTCAGGGCACATGCCTGGGTTGGGGACCAGGTCCCCAGTAGGGGTCGTGCAAGAGGCAATCACACATCGATGCTTCTCTCCCTCTTTCTCCTTCCCTTCCCCTCTGTCTAAAAATAAATAAATAATCTTTTTGAAAATTTAAAAAATAAATAAATCAGGTCTTTACTGTAACTATATTGAAGCAAAATGCTATCCGTGCTCATTTCTTGTATTAGACTTGAAAAATCTCAGGGCTAGGGAGCCCCCACATACATCTATAGGCTTGCAGAGCGCCTTAGCCATTTTGAAACTAGTCATATTCTATTTGGGGTGCCTCTGGCTTTAATTATTAACCTTCTAATATTAAAAAAAAAAAAGATTCAATTCAGTTGAGTCTTTACTGCTTTGGATTTGAAATGGCCTGGTGGATCTGCGAAGCTGTGGCACAGAGAAAACCTGCTGTCGAGAATTAGAAGCAAAAGCAGGTCTGAGGGCAGAGCAGGTCAGCCAGGATGCCAGGGGGAGGGAGGCCGGGTCTCACCCACTGAAAGGAAGCCCACTTGAGGCAAGCTGAAGGCAGGCCCTTCTCAGATTGGTTCCCAGAAACCCGGGAAGGGTTCCTGAGATATAATTTCCTAATACTTATTCACTCTTCTCCCGAGAAAAGATGGCGTTGGCTGGGCCTTTCTTAGAGGGCAGAGATGGCTGGCTCATGGCATCACTTACCACTTGGTTGGCATCAGGATGGGCTTCATTTTATGCCAGTAAAATTGCCACCTCTGCAAACGCCCTGTGGTGTGTGACCCCAGAGAACAGGCCTAGTAGCACCAACTCTGATTCTCAACTCCTGAAACATGCATGGATGTCCCTCCCTCTTAAACAATGCCCAGGACACTAACATTGCACAGCATTAGTTACCTCTGTCCCCAGTTTAGCCAGAGCACCATGAGTCGGCGTGTGGGGCGTGGAAACCATGATCTCCTCGAGATTTTTCCCACTGTGCTGCAAGGAGAGAGGGAAGAAGGTGAGAGCAAGCTCAGCAGCTGTTATTTACAAGTGCAGCTTCTCATCTGGGTTACATAATGAGTTCAGGAAACTATCAGGGACAATTAACACATATTATGTCTCTCCTAACAAAGTCTCAGGAGCTTGTTGGTGGCTTAAAAAAGACACTTTGGGGATTGTTTTGGGAATGTGAGGAAGTTGGAGCTAGTCCAGGAGCAAAACCCTGAGCTTCCAGAAGTGGGCAATGACCTGAATAGAAACGCCTGTGATATGCAAAAGGACGGCTTTTGCCAAGGCCCTTCTCTGGGCCCTCACCCTTCCCTACGGAGACCTGGCCCAGGAGGAAAGCAGATGGCCTCCTTGGATTTCTCTGGAAGAGCTGGGGGAGAGCAACGAACAACTAGAAGCTGTTTCAAACACCTTTAAAACGCTCAGAAAGGGGCGCACCTACCGTGACCTGCAGAGATCCGAACTCCCAGCACAGCCCCAGCTTCCCAACGTGGACTCCACACTCATCACAAGGAACGGTTCTGTGGCCCTCTGAGAGCATCCCGCTCCTAGGCCTCTGTGCCTTTGCACACACTCTTCCCTGTCTCCCCACTGAAATGTCCTCCGAGGCCCAGTCTTCCGACACACGCACCTATTAACCTCCCACTTGTCCGTCCAAAACCCACTCAGCCAGCCCAGGGAGCCCTCTCAGCACCCAGGAAATGACCTCTGCTCACACTGCGCATTTTATACATAATCGTTTGTTTGCATCTGCTTCTTCCACTAGAAGTTCCTTAGGACAGGAACTATTTCTATTTTAATCTGTATTCTGTTCCAAGTAATTTGCCCAACTTAGCAAATATGAGTGAATGTTCCTGCCTCAGTGCTAGCAAACAGTAGGTGCTCAACAACGCATGAAGATTGTGAACGTAAGCACCCCTCTCGTGTGGCTTTTCAAACATTCAGTTCTTCCTTCCCACTTTGATTCTTCCACAGATCTGAAGAGCCCGCCCCCTCTGCACTCCCTTCCTCCACTTCCCCAGGGAGTGAAGATATTCTGGGACCGGACAGTGCTGGAACTCTGCTTCGTTCCCTCGCCCCCCCCCCCCCCCAACATCCTGGATGGCCCTGCTTCTGTCAGAGAAGCTGCCACTCACTTGGTGAGGTAGGATCCCTGCAGGGCCCGGGAAGCGGCGTGTTTTGGCTCGCGGAGCGGTGCGCGTGGGCTGCTGGGGTGTCCGGTTGGCAGCGGTGACCAGCTGAACCAGGTGGTTGGTGACTATGGGCGTCTGCAGAGCTGCCTGGGGAACCGGGGAGGAGTGAGGACCCTTGGGGGTGCTGACGGGAGACTCAACAGAAGACGCTGGCACTCGGGGTTGTAAGGGCCCCCGAGGGAAAAATCCAGAGACAGTCCTGGAGGGAGTAGAATCGTTTGAGTTGGGAGTTCGGGGAAAATTAGGTTTGCCACTCAAGTGGGCATTCGGAGACTGGAATGACTGCCTGGGGACACGATTTTGAGGGCTACTCTGAACAGGCCTGCCAGCAGCTTGAAGAGGCGAGGGTCCTCGAAGTGGGGAGCCTCTGGGACAGACTTCCCAGTGGGGTTGCTGAGCAGGAACTGTGGAGGCCGTTGGGACAGGAAGGTCACCCACGGCACCAGGTCTCAAGTGGGGCTGCGGAGACCTACAGCAGACGACAGGACCTGGAGGCGGAGCCCGGGCTGACATGCTACCAATTATGTGGGTGGCAGGCAAAGGCCCCTTTCGGCAAGATCTGTTCAGGTCAGCTACCCGAGCCTTTTTAGCCAGTATTAAGTCTTCCCGCTGCCCAGTGGGGAGAATTCTGGAGGCCTCGCTGTTGAATCCAAGTTCCAGCTCCGTGCCAGGCCCTTCCAGCTCCATGCTTGCCAGGACCCGATCAAATTCGTCTTGTTCAGGTCCCTCAAAGCCACCCATCACCTGCTGTTTGTTCTCAAAGGTAAGCAGGGGGTGAGATGCCGAGGGCTGGAGTCCGGCCGGCTCTCTGAGCGCTGCTGTCGGCGTCGCTCTCCTTTGATTGCCAGGCCAGCTGCCGGAAGCTGAGACGGGCCTGAGGGGGCTTGTTCCCGTGGAAGGTGGGCCCCTGGTGGCCCTGAGCACGCTGGAGGTAGGAAGGCTGAGTCCCAGGGTCGGTAGGGCCGAAGCCATGGCAGGAGCAGTGCGGCATGATGGCAGCGGCCCAGAAGACGGTGGCTGCGCAGTCTCTTGCGCCCTGGAAGGGACAGGTCTGAGGCATCCAGCATTCACAGGTCTTGGGCCAGCACACTGGTTCTCTGCATCCTCCACAGCAGACAAGAAATCCTACAAAGCAGCGGAGACAGTGGGAAATGAAGAAACACTCCTTTACTGTTTCAGGCATGTGGTGTGTATGTATGTGCAGATATGCACAAGCCATAAACCAAGGCAAGAAAAGCAATGGCAGAGTCTCCCCACCTTTGACCTTGCCTATGAGCCCACTACCAGGTTTCTACCAGAAACATTCCCAGGCTGAGTCTTTCAATAACTCCTCTTTCTTTATTCAATCTCAAGTGGGGGTTGGGAGGTGGGGAGTGGGCAGCGGTGCTAGTTGGGGGAGCAGCAGGAGAAGCAAATGTACCGGGGCACCAAGGAGTCAAAATCACCCAAGGTCACAAGGAGACTACCTTTTTGGTGTCCAGCTGGTCATGCTGCTTGTCCTCAACCCACTCCTCACCCCCACCATACACACACGCACCCTCAGTAAGCCAGAGAGGCCTAATAGGCAGAAGTTAAATATAGCTTTCCAGGCAAGTTATATTAAGTATGGATTCCAGTTGTGAAGCAAGGTGAGGCTGACACCTTCAAGAGCAACAGACCTGTTCCGAGGGTGTTTTTGAGTCAGAACTGCTGATTTAACTGACAGGAAGGTCCCCACGGCCCCCACCCCCTGCTGCTGCACTGGATTGTCTGGGCTCGAGAAATGTTTTTTCCCGCTTTGTGTATGATCAGGAGAGTAGCATAAGCCAGCACTACCTCAGGATGTAGCAGTAATAATAATAGTAACAGCAGAATTACTGCAACAATCAAATCCTGATGACCCTGGGGGTTGATGAATCCCCCTTTTCAGGAAGAGCGCACTTTCAGACACGATGCCACCTGACTTGGGAAGGGGGAAAGGGACTGGTTATGGACAGAAACTTGAGCTGCCAGAGTCTTCCTCTCTTAATTTCATTACTAGCCTAGCAGTCTTACCCTCCCTCACCCAGCAAGATCCAAGAGGGTCACTTTAACAGTCACTTTTCAGCCTGTAATCATCATACATCTCGAAAGCTGAAAGACAAAGACAAGGACACATCTCCTTGACAAAGCTGGCAGTTCTGTATTATTTGTAAAAATAACAGTCAAGTCCCTAAGTGATAACAAAAACAGTTAACATTTGAAATCTCACCGGGTGGCAGGTACCGTAAACATTTTACCAGAATTTCCTCAATGAATTCTCACATTGGCCCTATGAATAGGTGCTGTTATTTTTCCTGTTTCTTGGATGCAGAAACGAAGACTCAGAGAGGTTGAGTAACTTCACAGGATCAGCACTAGAACCTATATGTGCCCTTGTCACTATGTCTTAGGAACTCAGTGAATGGACTGATTTTTTTAAGAGGTCTGACGAAGGTTGTTTTTCCCCCTTCAAACCTCATGTCCCAAAGCCTCGGAGGAAGGGAATATGTTGGGACTGTCAGACGGGCCCCTGATGCAGCATTCACTGTCATACTCAGCACAAACTAGGCATCTGGACAAATTCTAAATGTGATTTTTAAAGCAAAGCACCAAGAGACGAAAAGTAGGTTTAAATGGCTTGTCATTGATAGAATAGAGCGATCTTATTCTATAAATGTAGTTTAGTAGCTTCCATGTATGTTAGACTCGAGTCAAAGGGCCAAGACCCCACCCTGGCTATTGGTGCTTTATTCTTAAGTAGGTTAACTTACCTTTTTGGCCTTTACTCACTCAAATCCTACTTCTCTGTGAAAAGGATTTGAGGTGGCAATTTTTGGCCTCCCAAATGAAACTATGGCCTTTGGATCTAAGCGGGAAGAGAGCTATGGTGATTACTAGCTCAGTGATCACTAGTCTCTAGCTGCACCCAAAGTTTAGAAATACCCCTGTGCCTGGGTCCGTCCCCAGGAATTATGATTTAATCGGTGTATGGCAGGCCCTCAGATGGGGTGATTCTCATGAGCCAGATTCAGATCCAGGCTAATCCCTTATCTTCTGAGGAGAGATAGGGAAGGAAAGAGCATTTGAGGCAAAAGAATACCTCGCATATTGCAGAAGAGAAAACAGAAGACCAGAGAATGAAGTAATCTGCCCTCGTTGACGTAGCCAGTTGGTGACCCCAGGCCTCCCCGCCATCTAATAACCGTGTTGTCTCTGGCTCTCCATTCTCCCTACTTCAAGTATGTCATCAAGAAGGTAAATCAGCCCTGGCTGGTGTGGCTCAGTGGATTGAGTGCTGGCCTGCAAACCAAAGGGTCACTGGTTTGATTCCCAGTCAAGGCACGTGCCTGGGTTGCGGGCCAGGTCCCCAGTAGGGGGCACATGAGAGACAATCACACATTGATGTTTCTCTCCCTCTCTTTTTCATTCCCTTCTCCTCTCTAAAAATAAATTAAAATCTGAAAGAAAGAAAGAAAGAAAGAAAGAAAGACTAATCCTTAAAAAAAATAAAAATAAAAAGGTGAATCAAATCATCCACAGACACAGCTTCCAGGCAAAGGCCCTTATAATTTAAAGGTATGACAATCAGGGAGCTCATCTCTCTGGCTTTTTATTTTTTTCTATGATGGTTAAACAGGTTTACATTTCTCATCATTCCTCAGCCTCTCACAGACCAAAAACAATGTGCACATCAAGTAAAAGGAGACTGCGGTAGATTGCTTCAAAATGTTCAGGGCCTGGGTGTTTACATCTTAAGGCCGCCTTGGTTCACCAACACTTCCTTACCTCATCTTCAAACTCCTCTTCCACAGCAAATAGCTTCTGCAAACTGCATGCCTGAAAGGAAAACAAAGCAATTGAGGTTGGAGGAGAAATACTGTTTGCAAGTACATTCTGTCTTCACGCTGCTTCTTCCTAATTGTGACAAGGCCATCAAGTGTACTGTTTTTGGTTTGTTTGTTTTGCTAGTGTTGCCGGAGGAATAAGGGATGCAGAGAGACTGAGACGATTTCAAATCCTTTTTCTGTAAAGTAATCCAGTCAGGTCCATCTGCACTAATCTTGGAACAGGAGGGAAGAGGTAAAGGAGAGATTGCCAAAGGAAGCATGGGTCATTCTTTAGACTCAGCACTGCACCAATGGGCATAAAAGGTTTTGCAACAAAGGTCTGGCCTGATGGACCTTTGTCAAACATATGACACAACCGTGAATCTCAGCGTGCAGAGCACCGTGGCCTTGTTTCTGAAAACCAAGCCAGGGCTTTCCTTCTATCTAATCCCATGCCCAAAGGCTGGGGTCCCAGGAAGGTGGGGTGCCCCAGACCACAGTTCCTTCTTTGGAGGCGGCAGGGCTGCCGAGGCCAGCTCTGAGATGTGTGTCAAACTCAGAACCAAGCGTTGTGCTTAACCCCAGATGCTCGAGTAGCAAGAGGTACAGTTAGGGACACCGACCCCCACACGTCCAAGGCTCAGATGGACGGGCTGGGGAGCGAGGGTCGGGCTCCGGAGGCGTGACGTTTGAGTCACGGGGGAGGACGAACAGGAATTCGCCAGGAAGGGAACGGGACCTAAAGAGGCAGAGGCCGAGAGGGAGGTGGGTGGGTAGAGACTGCCTACGGCCTGCGGGGCATCCCTGCCAAGCCCTGACTGGAGTCCAGGCCTCCCGACCTCACTGAATTCTCACCCAGACCCTAAACCGGCCCTGCTGCTCGCCCAAGCGAGCAGCTGGAACCTGGAAGGCAGTTCCCGGGCCCCGGGATCCCAGGCCAGGCGGCCCCGGGCGCGGTATTACCATGGCGAAGGCGGGTGGGCTTTCGGCCAGAGGGTTAGCCGGACAGGCCCCAACTCCAGTGGTCGCAGGGGCCTCAGACTAGGCCGGGCTCTGCGGCGAGGTCGGAGAGGTCCCTGCGACCGGGCGGGTACCAAGAGGGTCGTAGTTAAGCTGAGGGCCAGCGCCGCAGGCCGCATTCGAAGCCACCGCCACTTCAGCGTCTCCGCCCTCTTAAAGGGGCGGGCCTATTTTATCCCGCCGACACCAAGGCCCTTCATCCGCCAGTCTTCCGCCCTGGCCTTAAAGGGAAACTGATGGGCTCTCGGTCGCCCCCGAGCGGCCGCTCGGGCCGGATCGGCTGGTTCTACAAGCGTTCCTTGAGAGCAAGTTTGGCGATTTGGGCCCACTACGCCCCATTCTGCGCATCCTCCTTTCTTGTGTTAAGCACACCAGGCATTGAGTACTTGGGCGGGACTCATTCACACCAGAATCCACCCCTACCAGAAAACAGAATTGTTTTTTCTGTTCATCTATCATCCATCCATCCATCAATCCATCCTTCGATCTTCGCAACACATGTATTAAGTATCAGTGGTTATTTTTACTTTTATTGTTCAAAGACATTTGTCTCCATTTACCCGCCAGCACTTTCCCCTGCCCCACCCACCCCCACCTCCCTCCCTCAATCCTTCCCCACTTTGGTTTTGTCCATGTTCCTTGACTTGACCCTTCCCCTTTCTCTTCCGTTACCCTCCTCCCTCTTTCCCTCTCGTTTCTGTTGGTTTCTTTTTTCTTTCTATGGTGCTGGTTATATTTTCCTTGCTTGTTTGTTTTGTTGATTAGGTCCCACTTATAGGTGAGATAAGTAAAAGTGTTCTTAGTCTGACTCTTTTCAGCCTTCATGTTTCAGCTTAGATCTTGGATCTTCCCTGTCATCCATTCTTTCAGGTAACATCCCTCTCCCATCACTATTTCCTTTTCAGCACTTTATTGTGTCTTTCTCACTAGAATATGAGCTCCCTGAAGAAAGGGACCTTATCTGGCTCGTTCAAATTTGTATCCCCAGCACTTAGCACAATGCACAATGGGGTTATTGAATGACACAATGGCTAGTATGTATTAGGCACAGTGCTTGACACTGGGGATAGTGAAGTGAATGACTACTCGTGCCCTGAAGTTCACAAACAAGTCAGGGAGACACAGGTCAAAAGACAGAGTCCAGGAGAGTGTACAGAGAGATGGGCAGAGGCCTAGTGATCTGGGAGGGCCAGGTTTTGTCACTAAAACCTGCTATGGTTAGCGACCCTCAGTTTCTCTTCCTATTTGTCACTACAAGGCTAGTGAGAATGACAGCTAGGGCTGCACAGTTTTGAGGGCTCAAAAGGCAGGAGGAAAGTGGCTGATTTGAGTCCTTAACCATCTGATCTGAGCCAGCCCTGCATCTTCCCCAGGGTGGTCTGGCCTGGTTTCACCTCTGGCTGCCTATTGCTTCCATCATAGCTTCATGCGGATCAGTTTACTTGTCATACGTCTGAACGGAGGCCAGGAGGGCAATGGGAAAGGGACGCCGGGCTCCTAACTTTCTTCCAAGTTAGAAATCCCCTCAAGGCCTCTGGGCTTTTGAAATGGAGGACAAAATCCCAACCCTCCCATATACAGACCTCCTCTCTTCACAGGAACCCCAGGCACAGCTCACCCTGCACCACCGTGGGTAGTCCTGGACACCCAGCTACAGGACTCCCTGTGGATCTGACCTCTGCCAGCTCCGGCCCACAGCAGGTCGCAGAGCCCAAAAGACCAAGAAGAATAGTGATAACTCCTACCCACACCATACGCTGCAGCTTCCAATTTTAACCAATAGGTCATTTTGTCGGAATAAAAATCCTGTAGACTGGGGGCAGGTATTACTTTACGGATTAGGAAACTGAGGCCCAAAGAGGGAAGGGATTTTCTGAGGATCACACAGTCACTCAGTGGTGGATCTTCTGGTTGGAAATCCTATGCTTTCTCCATCACCTTTCTAAGTTAAATAAACTTGGCATCTGTTGCCCCCACCTCCTGTTAGAACCTGGATGGAGGCAGGGGCAGTACCTGGAGCAAATGGAAAATGTGGACCTGGGACATTTTATAGAGGGCCTGACAGAAAGTAGTATGGAGTTTGTCTGTGATTTTAGAGTTGGGAAGGACCCCCATGCTGAAGGGTTCTCCTCTAAATCAAATGTCTTCTCTTTCTCAGTACTGCAATCTTAAAGAAAAGGCAAGGACCAGGTCTCCATGGTGATGCGGCCCAAGTCCCCTTCCTCCTCTTAGGAGTCAGTGGGGTGAACTCCAACAACCAGGCTTTAGGGTAATGGAGACTCATAAAAAGGAAGGGGTGGCTCTGCCCTCTGTGGCTCACTGGTTGGAGCATTGTCCTGTAACCAAAAGGCTGCAGCCTCGATGCTTGGTTGGGACACACACCTAGGCTGCCTGATTTGATCCTGGCCTGGGAGCAGGCACATGCAGTGCCCCTCCCCCGCACCCCCGGCCCCCCCCACCCCATGCATATGGGAGGTAGGCAACCAATCAATGCTTCCCTTTCGCTTTGATGTTTCTCTCTCTCCCTTCCTCCGTGTCTGAAAGCAATGAAAAAAAAAAGTCCTCGAGTGAGGATAAAAAATAAAATAAAACGGAGCCCTGACCGATGTAGCATCAGCCCACAAAGTGAAAGGTCACCGGTTCGATTCCGGGTCAGGGCACATGCCTGGGTTGCAGCCAGGTCCCGGCCAGGACACACATCAATGTTTCTCTTCTTCTCTTTCTCCCTCCCTTCCCCTCTCTCTATGAATAAATAATTTTGTTTAAAAAATCTAAAAAATAAAAAAACAAATAAAGGAAGGGGTGAGTTCAGGGAAAGGGAGAAGTGGGTGCTGGGACTGGAGCAGGAGGACTCACATTGGAAGGCACTAGACCCCCAGCTGTGAAGTGGGGGATGAAGGAGAGTGAGTATAATGAGAGGGTCTCAACAGTATTGTGATATAACCTAGAATAATAGCAGCCAGTACCTCCTGAGCACCTTCTGTGTTCCAGGCAAGATCCGGAGGACTTTTCATGTGTCAACTTACTTGGCCATTGTAACAAGCTTCAAAGTAGGTGCGAGGATAACGTCTGCCTTCCAGAAGAAGAAAGAGTCAATGTCTTGCCCAGGCTCACATAACTAATAGGTGGTGGAGCTGAGATGATTAACCAGGCAGTCGGGCTGCAGCGCCCACAGGCTTAACCACTATGTTGTTTTGCCTCTTATAATTCCAAGGAACTGGGTTCTTATCCTGGGGATTCAAGAAATATAAGTCCCCTGTAATTTAGTGCAAAACAGCATGTGCCTATGCGCACGTGCCTCGTTCTGGGAGAGAATTATGGATTTCATTACATTTTCATGGATCAGAAGTCCGTGGCCTTGCTTTATTTCAGGACCAGAATACACCATACCCTTTCATCCCTCATTTTGTGTAGATGCCTCACTATCTCCTGCCTGGACTATTGCAGTAGCCTCCTACATGGTCTCCCTAATCCAAAAGCTCTCTTCCCTTCTGTCCATTTTTTCTCACATGCATCTGCTTCATTGCCCTCTTGCACCCTCAACCAACCTCCCAGTCAGTAACAACCCCTCTTCCCCCCACTCATTCTTCAGGCCCTAGTTCATGGGCTGCCTCCTCCAAGAAGCCTTAATGGCCCTCGGCAGACTCAGGTGTCCTTCTCCTTGGTTTCCTGCATTTGCGGCATAGCTTCGTGATAGCTTGGGTTTCTTTTTTCTTTTTTTTTTTGAAGTCATCAACTTTTTTAAAAAAAGATTTTATTTATTTTTAGAGAGAGGGGAAGGGAAGGAGAAAAAGAGAAACATCAATGTGTGGTTGCCTCTCACGCTCCCCCTACTGGGAACCTCGCCCACAACCCAGGCACATGCCCTGACTGGGAATCCAACCAACTGGTGATGCTTGAGTTCACAGGGCAGCACTCAATCCACTGAGCCACACCAAGCAGGGTGAGCTTGGGTTTCTTATATGCCCTGTATTGTCTTCAGGTTTCCTTCACACCTCCTTGCTGCACTTCAAACCCCTTCAGGGCAATGACTCTGGCTCTTCACTTTTGTGAAGCAGCACTTGGCACAGAACCTGGCACATGGGAGATGCTCAGCAAGCATTTGTTGAATGACTTAATGCCATTTGTCAGGAAGGAGTGCAAATGAGTCTTGGCAACTCCATGCTCACTTCTGCAAATACCTGCAGTGGCTGGATGAGGAGCTTCAACTTCTTAAGGACTAAGGAGAGCACACCTGGAGAGTGTGTGTGTGTGTGTGTGTGTGTGTGTGTGTGTAAAAAGCATTCTCCCCTTGGCTATGGAGTCAGACAAATCTTGGTTCATATTTGACCCTGCTGCTAGCTGGTTGTGTGACCTTGAGTAAGTTACTTTATCTCTCTGAACCTCAGTTTCTCATCCATGAAAATGGAATAATACATCTTTCTCACAGGATTGCTATGAGATTGAATGAATTAATGCACTGAAATGGCCAACGCCATGGCACGTTGGCAGGGGCTCAGCAATGTGGGTTCCTTTCCCCCTACTTGAGTTTGCAAACATGTGCTGAGATTTGTTAAGGGAACCACATGGCTTGAGTTTGTATCTATTTCAGCATATTTGCAAATGCATTTTGCCCCAATTTGTATTTTTATCATACGAATGGTTGTATGGGAGTCAGTGAGCTGATGGATGTGTTTATGTGTTTCCCTTGACATTTGCTTTGGTATGGAAAGCAGCGTACACTGACACCGAGAATCTTATGTGGTTTTGTTGGTGGGTGGACATTGCATGTTGAGTGAGTGTGTGAAGTGTGTGTGGAATGAAATGTGTATTGTGTGCTGCATACGAGGGTGGGGGTCTGCGTGTATGTGGGTGGGGAAGGGCTTGTCTGTTTGTGTGGCTTTGTGTGTCTGTGAAGGCTGGGCATACCAGCATAGTGGGATAGAACTTTCTGGGTTGATGAAAGCATTTTCTGTCTGCACTGTCCAATAGAGCGGCCACGAGTCACATGTGGCTATTGAGCACTGAAAATGTGGCT